TAGAGATGATCCGGTAACTCGTTGTATTATTTTCTTTGATTCGCAGTTAAGGCCTATTAATTTCTTTAATCTAGGAGCCTAACATAAGAAGTAGTGACCACAATTCGTGGAATCTTGGATATACCGCAGTAGCGGGATGTCGCGCAGGCAATGCAACCTGCGACGGAGCGTCCTGGATACTGAAATTTCGACCAATTTATCTTCAATCGGAATTTATTCAAGAATTTCAATTCATGTAAATTATATGTAAATAGATATGTATCCAACTATCCCTCTCTAGCGTTGCAAATTTTTAATTCTTACAGTGCTGAATTGGAGATTATCAAAATGATAGGAAAAAGTGTCAAGGCTTCATCAAGGAGTCACCCATTTGCCTGGTTTTATCCGGAAGTTGTCGTTATACGGTCACCCATCTATGAGATGAAGATTGATGTCAATTCTTCTAAAATCATCCAACCCCCAACTCCAAAACTGCAAAGCAATGATATCAAAATTCACGTAATGTATTCACCTTATAACAATGCGGACGATTGTAGAAGCGCAAAACCCGTATCTCCCGATTTTCATCTCTGTCGACACTTTCACAAAGAAAAACCACAACCAAAACGCATCATTTCTTGGACCTCGAGTATCGCCAAATACAAAGAATGTTTTACCTTGGAAGCTTTTCCTGGCCCAAAAGCGAACTCTCTTCACGTCAAATTTCGACAATATTTTCCAGACTCGGATGGATTTGATGAAAAAGTGTGCGGCAAAATGTTCGGGGCGGAAATTGGATTTGAGGCCGTGAATGAACTAGGATATCCGACAGGACTGCCGAAAAAGTCATTTTCAATTTATAACCACACCCAGATGTCGACATGTGTAGGAGAAGACGTGCCTGAACCTCCACCAACTTTGGAACATGAATCCATAAATTATGCCTGTTATTTTTCCGAAGCCCACAAGGACAAGTACACGGTGGATAAGGTGACCATGAATTTCACACTTTTCTCGGGAATTCAGAGTCAGGATCTATGCATTTTAAATTACATTTTTGTAATTAATCCAGGTGCATGACTTGGCCTCCACTCCAACATTATTTCTCGCAAAGTTTGACAAATTTAACAACAAGGGGGGAATATGTTTGCTGTGGGAGTATCCCCCGAATCGGCAAAAAATCATGCCTAAAACCGTACAGATTTAGTGAGTCCTTTTTAAAAGGCATTATCCAAACTTGATTAATGATAATCATTTCCCACATTCCAGTGCGGAGGTATTCGTTCCACGTTCCATTAGTGGAGACCAATCCGACGTAATTGTTCTCTTGCGGTCACAAGTTTATGATTTTACATTTTCAACTGACCCACCACCCGAGACGATCAATTGTCACGATACTGCACCAAATAGTGGTTTTACACTCAACCCTGGTTTTGGAGACTTGTACAACCTCGAAGACCTCGCCGATCTCTGCAAACGTGACAAAGATGGTCGTTGTCCCGTCGAGTTTAATAGGACCCCGTTGGACTTTGTTTTATGTCGCTATTTTCGCCCCGATGTTCCAATTTACAATAGGAAGTTAACATTTGGCAAGGACAACGAGCTTCTTCCAGGTGATCAAAAGTTCAGAGATTGTTTCATATTAGAGGCCTTTCCGACAGCCCTTCCGAACACGCTGCACGTCAGATTTCGTCAACATGCGTACACAAATCCGGCCTGTGCTGACGTTCCTGCGTCAGAAGTTGCCTTTCAAGCCGTCAATGAGCAGGGATATCCGATCGGTTCGATGGAAAAGTCGTTCCAAGTGTTCGATGCGGACAAAAGGTTTGTCAAGGAGTATTGCGAGAATGATGACCTACTTCAACCACCCGAGCTCGATGTGCAAGCATCAAAAAATTATCCGTGCCATTTCATTCCTGGACAAAGTTTCAAATATACTCAACGTGTAAAATTTTTATTAAATATGTTCTACAAAATGTGGGGAATTGATATTGAATGCTAAATAAACCATTGTTTTAGGTGAGGTCCTCATCGGAAGTCCCGCAGATGTTCGGATTTAAAGTACGGTCAAAAAGTGATGGTGACATTTGCCTTATTTGGAAATATCTCCGTGTATCACGAGACTCTCCTGTTCCACCACCGAAAACGGTGCAAATATAGTGAGAAATTTGAGAATTTATATAAATATGTAGGTGACTTAAGATCCAGTTATATAATTTATGATTTTCTTGTATTAATTCCGGTTAGTGCCGAAGTCTATATCGCACACCATAAAGTAGTTTCAGTTCTGGGGTCACAAGTGTACAATTATTTGGACCCTCCCGAGAATACCGAGAATCCTCCGAAGCGCAACTGTCATGACCCGAATCCAAATTCGTGGTTTAATTTAAACATGGACGTCCCGAGTATAGAAGTGGCAGGATTCGTTACAGATTGTGCAAAATCTCAGGAATGTCCCGTTTTCTTGAAGGATGAAGATCGAAGAACTCTCCCACCGGTGGTCATTGCTACTGGCACCCCGTCCGGACGCAGATCAACAACTCCCAACACTGTACGTGCAAATATTTGCATAAAAAATGGCGAATTAATTGTGTGAATGTGATTGAAATTACATTGACCCTAATTTTAGACGCCGCAACCTGACATCGATGCGTATGAAGGGTGTGCGATATCCAAGTCATGCATCGCTCCCCCAAAAAATGAAGACGAACCAGAGCCGGATGTGAATCTGTGTTTCCTTCCTGAAAATCGTAATTGCGAGATGTTGGTGACGTTTGGAGACGCTCCGGCTGAAGGTGAAAATCTAGTTTTGGAGAAGGAGCTTATCTTGGAAATGTTCAACCCTTCCGTGGATAAGTGGTTGGCAATTGCACTGTCAGAGTCAGATAACATGGTACCATTTTAAATAAGAATGAATTTATAGATGACTATTGGAATTACACTAATAAATTGTCATTAGGCACCAGCTTACGTTGTCGAATGCGTAATTGAGAAGGATCGAGTAAACCTTTATCACTCTTTTAATGTTGAGAAACAACGCAGAAACGGAAGAATGGTAGCTCTCTTCATTCATACTTACAATTAGTGTTCTCAAAATTGGGCGGGACCGATCGATAAGCTTTGTTGGCACGGACATCGACAAAGCTCATCGGCCCGCTCCTATTTTGAGAACACTATATTATTAATCTATAACTTGTGTATCTTGCAGCGAGGAAATTATTCTCATATCGGCGTGGTTAAATTGTTGCGTTATAAGCGAAGGAATACTGGTCTTTACTGCAGATTTTCCATCAAGAGACACATCTTCGTAAGAGATCCGAATGTCACGAAGAAGGTTCACAATTACGACTTGGTCAGAGTACCGTATTTTCTGCTGTATGCGTGGGGCAACGCTGTGACAGAGGATGGCATTACCGGTTTTTATATTTGACTAATTATTCCTAGATTTGAGAAATACCCAAAAGGTTTTATTTTGTTAGGAAATCTCCTGAAGCACAATGATTCACGAGCCTCGTCCAAGAAAATTGCAATTGGAACACGACTCTCGGTAGTAATGCATTTAAATAAGTCAGCATATTAAGATCTATCATGTCTTCCTAAATATACTGCTTAATTATTCTTTAAGCCACTCCCCGAACAAAAGGCCCTTCTTCGTCTGCATTCGACGATCTTGATAGCAGCCGTCCTATTTTTCCTATCGCTTGGCATGTTTTCTGGACGATATTACAAGGAGACATGCGTCAGTGTAAAAATTTTCATCTTTCCACTCTGGCTAGTTGTGAGTCATTTATGCATAAATTTATGGTCGAAAATTTGGTAAAGTTAACTACGATAACTGCTAATTTCAGGTCCATGCCATATCCATGACCGCTATGATAGCGCTCCTCGTAGTTGCCCTCGTCGTAGAAATTATCGCCCATCAGGGTTGGACGGCTGTGACGCCACCGAATTTTCACTCGTACGTGGGTTGTATGGCGTATGGCTTATCCTTCGTCGTCTACGGGATGGGTTTCTTTGTCAAACCTTCGCAATACGGAAGCTCCAACATTCCTGCGGCGGTTCACGTTATGGGTGGAAACCTGGTTTATTTCTTGTGCTTCATCCTCATAATTTTGGCTGATCGGGTTTCCTTTTCCGGATTGGCGTGTCACATCAAGTGGATCGTGGGAGCTTGGGGTTTCATTTACTGTGCATTCCAATGCTTCTTCACGGTAAATGCTTTCAGTTTTTCAGGGCAATGCTCGAATTATATTCAGTTTTGCAACTTGATGGGCTCTTTTTTTAGTATCAGTACTGGTGGATCGACTATATTTTGGGTCTAAAGAAAAAACGAGGCAGGTGATTCTTCCCGATTCCAGCCATATACGAGTCCGATGATTCTGGGTCACAAATGCATCTGGGTAACAATGACGAAAGGGGTTTCAAGCCAAACCTGGAGCCTGAAAAGGGTCAAGATCCGGTCGAAGCGCCAGTGAGTCATACATAAACATAAAAGCTGCCTGCTCTTAATGTTTTAATGCAAAATTGTTGTCCTACTGATATTGCAGGGAAGCAAAATTCGATTGGGAGCGTTCGTAGTGATCTGCATCTTATCGCTTTTATACACGACTGGGAGCGTATATATGGTTTTAAGAAATACGAAGGGAGACGGGGATTGTTTTACGCTGCAGGAAATATTAGAATTGTCAACATGAAGTTCATTCTTTTTCAACTAGGCTCGTTCCTATGCGCATTGATATTCTCAATTTAGCTTAAACTTGGTATACTGACATGGCCTATTAATTGCACTTTCTCCAACTAATTTGTTAAATAAAATTATTTGACGGAGTTATTAGAAATTTTGTAAATTTCGGAAAACAGATTTCTGGTTTTTCCTATCCTCCAAAAACATGGAACTGTAGTTGTTAAATTAGTTTGCATACACAAATAAAGCGATTCGTGCATTAAGATTTTCGAAAATTTAAAAATTCACGAAAAGGTGATGCTAAATTAATAAAATTAGCTACCAATCATTTCAGTACGTTTGCACCATTAACCGACTTTTGAACATTGAATACAAATTGAAGAAACTCAAAATCATGAACAGTTTTGTGACTTTGGCCATTTTGGTGGCTTTTGGAGTTCTGGGGGTGTGTCAAGCAGTTTCGGTTCAAGAAGATGTGACCCTTACTCGCAAACAGAAAGCGGTCTTGGACCAGGTAACCAGTTAATTAAATAAATGCAATTTCTTAAGAAATTCGGAAAGTTATGTAACTTTTTGATTATTCACAGTTCAAAGAATCAGTTAAGGGACGACTTCCCCAGGAATACATGTACGAAGACATTTATCTCATTAGATGGTTGAGGGCGAAGGATTTTCGACTTAAAGATGCTGAGAACATGATTATGCAGGTATTAAAATTGAAATTTCAATACAATTTCTCCAATAACTTAACGTGGAAATCGCACTATCACTATTACTCGTTAGAACGTCGCATGGCGAAAGGAAAACCAAATGGACAACGTCTTAAAGGAAGATTGGTCCGACTTTCGCAAAGAGTACAAATACTGGATCGACGGCGTCGACAAGGAGGGACGCCCAATTCTGATTATTGACGTTGGAGAGTGGGACCTTCGCAAGGCTTCTGTGACTGGACAGGCTAAAAGGTTGGGTCGTTATATTGACTCCATTTACGAAGAAATTAACGAAAAAGTGAGGACGATGAGATTAGTCGAAGGAAAGAATGTGACACAGGTAAGGTAACCTTGTATAAGGTTATTTATAAGGATAACACTTTCAAGTAAGGTAGTAAAAACAAGTATACACTTGTAAGTAACTACTTACGTAAAATAAGTGTACTTAAACAAATGTACTTATAGCACTTTACGTACCTTACTTAGGAGGAATGCTTCCGTACTTGTCAGTAACCGATTTCGATGCCATTGGACATGTGGTAAATAGTCACACATGAGTGTACTGAAACCCTGAAGTGTTTTGACTCCATGATCACATTTGCGCCCGCCTCATCCACTCAAAGGTGCCCAAAAACGGTGAAAGTAGTGCTTTCACTCATTCAAATGCACGCCAAAAATCCAATTTTACTCGGATTTTCAAATTTCTTTCACTATTATACTCCCAGATAGTTGCTTTCTTAAATCCAACATCAAACTCAACTTTCTGAAATTTTTACTATTTTAAAATTTAAAATTCGCAATGAGCATTGTTGTAGTAATAAACAACGCAATTTATGCCTGCGAAATAATCATCAAGAAAGTTGAGCTTGATGTTGGATTTAAGAAAGTAACTATCTGGGAGTATAATAGTGAAAGTCATGTAACTTTTTAGCCCGAACCAGGGCTTATGTAATTGTCATGTCCCTCTGTCTTTCGATAACTCTCGAACGAGTTGACCGATTTGGACCAAATTTGGCACAGACATGTATCTGGGCAATGCAACGACCGAGTTCGAAGATGGGTTCGAACAGAAACGTTTTGGACCGGTTTTAAAATTTAAAATTCTCAATGAGCATTGTTGTAGTAATAAGCAACGCAATTTATGCCTGCGAAATAATCATCAAGAAAGTTGAGTTTGATGTTGGATTTAAGAAAGCAACTATCTGGGAGTATAATAGTGAAAGAAATTTGAAAATCCGAGTAAAATTGGATTTTTGGCGTGGATTGGAATAAGTGAAAGCGCTACTTTCACCGTTTTTGGGCACCTTTGAGTGGGTGAGGCGGGCGCAAATGTGACCATGGAGTCAAAACACTTCAGGGTTTCAGTACACTCATGGGAGACTACCACATGTCCAAGGGCATCGAAATCGGTTACTAACAAGTGCGGAAGCACTCCTCCTTAAAGCAAGCGTTACCTTATGTACTTAAGGTTATGTACTCACGCAATGGTACTAATTAGTAATTGAAAATTTCTAGTATCTACATATATTCGATCTCGGAGGCTTTAATTTAGCGCAAATGGGGTGTTCCACGTGTGCGTAAAAGAGATTCACATTTGATACGTCTTTTTTAAATTCATCTATTTACAAGTATTTTAAATTAAATCGCCTTTACAGGCATTCCTTTGGCTACTCGAGTCGTAACGACGTATGAAACTCATTATCCAGGAAATCAACACAAGACTGTCCTGGTGAACAGCAAGTTGTCCTGTTATCCTCAATGTATTTAAAATTTCAATCTAATTTCTAAAGCTAAGTACTTATTCCATCAAAACTACTACTTTTAGCTCCCGGGCCGTTCCAAACGCTTTTGCAGATTCTCAGACCCCTCATGTCCCAGAACACTCGGGACACCCAGTTCATTTACGGAAAGAAGGAGGAAGGGGCGGAAGCCCTGTTGAAGGACATTAACGCAGATCAGTTGGCCGTCGAATTTGGTGGAACCAGAGTGCTGCCAAACTATTCTTAAATTAGAGACGACTACGAACAAGTTATTTATTATTTATTCAGCTATTTATGTAACTACTCAGTCAGTAATTCAGCTAGTTTTGAGAGAACAAATAAAACAACCTCCTCATTAGAAAGTGTGCACATCTCATCGCATTGCACATTATGAATTTTTTATCGAGGTGCATAATAACTATCTTGAACTCCATTTTTGCTGTAAACGACTTGCCACAATTGAATTCTTCGAGCCTTGAATACTCCAGCCGCAAATTGCAGATAGTAGTTCCACATGCGGTAAAATCTTGGTCCATATTTACCTTCAATTGTGGGCCAATTCTTCTTAAAATTTACTATCCAAGCTTGTAGCGTCTTCGTATAATCGTTCCCAAAATTATGCAAGTCTTCAATAATAAATAGTCCTTCGGTGCAGTTGGTAAGGTGTTTGGCTCGTGGGAACATTCCATTAGGGAATATGTAGCGATGATACCAGCTAAATTTCGTGTAAAATATTAAACACCCATACTACATATTTATGTAGATACACACTTAAAAAAATGGATTTTCCTACGGTTCGGTACATGGAAGCTCCTTGTGGTTCGTTCCAATAGCCTGAAGTAGGAATAAGCCGTCATCCTTCAGACATCGGTGCGCAGTTTCGAAATATTCCCGATAATTCTTGTGGCCGACATGTTCAAACATTCCGACGGAGACGATACGGTCAAATTGTTCCTTAAGATCTCTGTAGTCGACCAGCTTGATTTCAACGGGAAAACCTTCACACCGCTGTTGTGCTAAGGCTGCTTGTTCCTTGGAAATTGTGATTCCAACGACAGAGACGCCATAATTTTTGGCCAGGTGGTAACAAAGACCGCCCCAGCCACAACCAATATCAAGCACTTTCATCCCAGGTTTCAACATCAATTTTTGAGCAATGAGTTCCATTTTTGCAATTTGGGCTTCCGCGAGATTCTTCGCCGACTTCCAGTAACCACAGCTGTAATTCATGGATGGGTCAAGGAATGACTCGAAGAGGTCATTCCCTATGACGCATTATAATGATTTTAGAATAGAAACGTGTATTTATGGGTACCATAAATTGGGTAATAAATAACTGACCTGTATCATAGTGTTTCTCACCCACTTCCCAACTATGCTGTTGTGACTGAAGGTTAAAGAAGCCACCTTCCATGAAATCAAGAAATCTGTTCCATGGATTCAGATACCAAAGATATATTCCATTCTTGAAGAATCTGCATGAAATTTCTTCGATATCTTCGGCATCCCATAATCCGTCCATGTATCCTTCCCCAAACCCCATGTTACCTTGATTTACAACTCGAGGGTAGAATTCCTTATTTTTGACCTGTTACATCCAAAAGTATTTTATGGCTATCCTTTCTTAATAAAGTGACAATACTAGAGAAAAATACCTGAATATCCCACGGTTTGTCCCCGTTGATATCAATGCCTCCACTTTTTAATACATCACAAAGCATGCCTTCGTAGAAATTTGGAAATAAACGTATCCACAACATTTCTATTGATTTGTAGAGACTGATAAAAAATATTGTGGTCTTGTATACATAATAGTTCACCATTTTGATTAGTTTCCAGCTAAAATTTTCCTAAAACGCCAGAAGAAACGATTACCAGTCACCACGAAGGCCAAGAAGTATTTGTTAAACTAAACCACGCTTGCAAATACGAGATGGTAATATTTGCGTAAAAATTGTGAATTAAATTGGCAGCATGATTATGTACGGACAACAAGACATTCAAAATAGTATGTACAAAATTTATTACGATGCTTTAGGGATTTATGGTGATTAACTTGGCAAAATATACAAATAGGTATCATTATTGTGGTAGGCGATGATTGAATAAGAAGATTTAATTACAAGTCTTTAAGTGAAGATGATGTCTGCTTCACCCCATCTCATTTTGATAGTTAATGCATAATATTAAAATAAAAATCAGCTACTCATAATCAAAACTGGAGAGGTATAAGTGTTTCGCATAAGTTTTTCGCATCTTGTCGATATAAATAGGTATATTTACATAATGTGTGTTTATGCTAATCCTAAGGTATGGCTACTAATAAATGAGTTTTGCGTGAAATTGGATGCTGCCTTAATTTATGTTTCAGTGACGAATTTTAAATTAGCCGTGTAGCATGGTCTTGGTCATAATAAATATTATGCGTTATTACTCAAATAAATAAGTAGGACGTGCAAAATTTCGTTTGAAATACCCCAAAACTTGTACATTTATTAGAATGGCATATTATGTAAGTATAGCAGAATACATATATTCCTTTGTAGCAGAAATTATTAAATCATGCATGTAACACAGAATATAGATCGGACTTATCGTGCAGCATAATATCCACCTTGAATTCCGTCTTTGCTTAAAACAACTTGCCACAATTGGAACTTTCTCGAGCGAAACGATCCAGCCGAGAATTGCAGATAATAGTTCCACATTCGGTAAAACCGTGGTCCATATTTGGCTTCAATTGTTGGCCAGTTCTTCTTAAAATTCTCCAGCCACGCTAACAAAGTTCTGGAATAATCATTCCCCATATTTTGCCAGTCTTCTATTATAAACAGCCCTTCAGAACAGTCAGTGATGTGTTTGTAATAGGGCTGCAGAGTCAACAACAACAAAATTTATGGTTTACAGGAATTTGGTCAGTTTTATGACTATTTAAATTTTAGAAGCTCACCAAGATCCCATTAGGGAAGATGTAGTAATGGAACCACCTGAATAAAATTGGCATTGTTTTAATTATCAACGTGATTGCATATGCATAATAATGAAATATGTTCAACATATATTCAACATTACGGTTCTGCACATGGAATGTCTTTATGATTCACTCCTATTGAATGCAGCAGGAAAATTCCGTCATCTTTCAAGCATCGATGGGACGTCTCAAAGAATTCACGGTAATTACTGTGGCCGACATGCTCAAACATTCCGACGGAGACGATGCGGTCAAATTTTTCCTTAAGGTCTCGATAGTCGACCAGCCTGATTTCAACGGGTAGACCTTCGCACCGCTGTTGTGCTAAGGCTGCTTGTTCCTTGGAAATTGTGATTCCCACGACAGAGACGCCATAATTTTTGGCCAAGTGGTAACAAAGTCCACCCCACCCGCAACCAATATCGAGCACCGTCATCCCAGGTTTTAAGCTCAATTTTTGTGCAATTAGTTCCATTTTTGCAATTTGTGCCTCCGTGAGATTCTTCGCCGACTTCCAGTAACCACAACTGTAATTCATGGATGGGTCGAGGAAGGACTCGAACAGATCATTTCCTGTTGAGTGACAAGCATAAATAAATAAGTACAATAAGATTCAAGATAGTTTGAAATAGGCAATTTTGCACGAGTACCATAAATAAGATACCTGTGTCATAGTGCTTTTGGCCTACTTCCCAACACTGCTCTTTGGACTGAAGATTAAAGAAATAACACTCCAAGAAATTGAGAAATCTGTTCCAAGGATTCATATAAATCCTGTAAATCCCGTTTTTCATTGTCCTACAGGTCAACTCAACAATGTCCTCGGCATCCCAGAAGCCATCTGCATATGTGCATAATAAGAAAGAGAACTTTAACAAGACGTATTTCGGTTTGCAAAAATTTACCCATGTAACTCTCGCCAATTCCCAAAGAACCATGATTGACCACTCGGCTGTAGAATTCCCTATTTTTTACCTGTCCAAGAATTTTCATAAAAATTGAGCATAACTTTAACAAAATCGAATTACTCAAAATTTGTACATACCTGAATATCCCATGGTTTGTCCCCATTCAAAATGATACCTCCTCTTCGATAAACTTTGGTAGTGATTCGTTCGAACCGATTTCGAAACATACGGATCCAAAACATTTCAAGCGTTTTGAACAATTTTATCAGAAATACGGTCGCTTTATAGGTATACTTGGCCATTTTTTTGTGGTCAACAAGTTTTCAGCAGCTTCCGAGATTCAAAAATGCAATTTCACCTATGCAATGAGAGCTGACATTCACTGACTCTATTTTTAGAAGAAGAGAGAGTGATGCTATTCGAATTGGCTGATACGACGACTTGGGCGAAGGCGTCTTACGTGCAAATTCGAAATGAGGAATGAAGATTTGTTTGGAGACCGTTAGTGGTTGGTTGTGTTACCTACATTACAGAACCGTCTTCCACCTGATTGTCCATCGTATCCACTAATGAATTAACCACACCAGCGGAGAGATTACAGTGCGTTGCTTATGTCTTGGGTAATACGGGCACCTATTGTAGGTCTAAATATGGTGGGACGGGGGATATATTCACGGCAAAACTTTCTAAAGGTATACGAACCCAAATCCTCTAAAATTATGTGCAAATATGCAATGTGAGGATTTGTTAGCAAATATTTAATGCGGTAATAAAGTTAAGTTAATCACATCGACTGAAATGACGAGACTTCAATATGAGACAATAACTGGATTTACTTGCAATTATATAATAGCAATTTTTGGCATAATTTTGATACAGTACGCTCAAGTTATGACATTAATTTGGTTCACCAGTACATAAATTGCATACCTGAAATGCAATATGAAGTGAACTGGCTAATTTTTGTTGAGAGAGTACCTGAAATCCAGCAGTTTCTGCCAAGTTGAGTACTTTAATTAGTAATATTTTATCTTATTTGTTATGCAAATTGAGATCTTCAACGTTCAATACATTTGTTGTGTCTTATTAGGACAGGTTACGATCTAGAGTGAGATCAAGGTGCATAGGGAGAAAAGTTAGGGTCACAGTTTAATATTCGATATTGGTCACAGACGGACAAATTTATTGCATGATATATTTAGCCTTAGGTCCTTCCGCTACTTAATAAAGTGGTATTTTCTTTTGTTAAGCTTGTAGCATCAAACATCTATTTGGTGGGAGCAAAGGTCACTGATGGGGCCAACAAGTGTCGTACTTTTGTATTATCTTCTTTTTGTCATGAATATCAAATAATTTGAGGATTACTTAAAACAGATTCATGTATAATCCTCTTATGCACAAATCGGTCGCTGACACGGTAAGCGCCCAGTTTTTGCGAATTATTATTTGCAAAAATATGCATTGAATAGATTTGCACATATATCCCTCTACATCTGTAGTCGTTCGTTGTGCAATAATACCAAGGTATTATTAAGAAGATGACCAAAACAAAAAAAATATCCATTATTCAACACAATTTAAATTAGTAAATCAAATCTTTCATTCATAAATATATACGTACAAACCCATAACATTTGTAATTAAAATTCTGGGCAATCGTCAAAAATTTTAACTTTGAGCAAAGATAAATTATTCTACGAACATAAAATTAAATGCTAATTAAACCCCTTCTAATAATTTTAAACCTAATTAAATTTTCTTCTTGCCTTTAGCAAAGAGGAAAACTTCAGCCGAGTCTGCCCTACTAGACGGTGGCTTTAATCTCCCAACCTTATGATAAGCCGATTCCAACTCCTTCTCCAACTCCTTGGTTTCACTCCCATCCCAAATTTTAGTTACAAAATGACTCCCAACTTTTCCATGCTGTGTCGCAAATTTTAAGGCTTCTCGAACAAGCGTTATTATTCTTGGATGGTCGACCCCATGCATTCCGGTAGAGTTTGGAGCTGAATTAAAAATTCTTTGAGGGGCAGCATTTTCATTAGATGGTCTGTTCGATCATGAAATTTTTACCCATGTCGCTAAGGATAATATCAACGCCAACGGGTTGAGAATTTAGTGATGGATCGCCACAGTTTTGCAACAAATCTGCAATTTTTTTCAGAGTTTCTTGGCTTGTAAAGTCACACCCGGGAAGCAGGATGGCTCCAGGGAGAGGATCAATCGGAAGGAGATCTATACCAATCACTTTTCCCACAGGTTTCTTCTGATCTGGGAATAAAAATACGTAGTTTGTAAGAAACATTCAACCACAATTGTTCAAATTGCCATACTTTTTCCATCACTGTTAATCCTTTGGACGATCACTTGTGTCCATGCACCGGGAGCTGCCCCGCATTCGACAACGACCACACCCGGTTTCAGAAGTTTGAGTTTGTCATCCATTTCTATCAGTTTAAACGCACTTCTGGCCCTGCGTAATAAATGATTTTGATCAATTAAAGCCTCAATATCAGGTTAATTTGTAATTCTTACCTGTAATTCAGATCGTGTGCCTTTTTAACATACGGATCGTTCAACTGTCGAGTAAGCCACTCTTGCGAACTTTTACTCTTGCCTTTGAGGTTTTTAGGAACAATCTTCTCTCTTACCGGTGAAGTGAACATTTTTCTGATTAATATAGTTTTATTAATGGGAAGTAACCGCATTGTCACTGAAAAGATGAAAAACGTAGTCAGAGTAATGGGGCTACTCAGGAGAGATATGGAAAAGTGAGACAAAATTGAGACGAAATTAACCACTGGGGAAATTCAAGACTTGAGACAAAAATGCATTACATTCTCCTAACAAGTTATCTAATCTGTCGTAAAGATTAGGAGTAACTTCCACGTCTGCAAATTGTCACTTGCCTTACTCCTCATCTACTAGACAATGATAAGTACTTATCGAAATACACATGTTGTTTCCAAAATAATTACAGAATGTAAAATAAAGTGAAGTAATGGGGATTGTAAGACCTGAGACGAAAGCTCACCTTACTTAAGCACACCTTTTGCCACAACAATTAACCGTATTTACAACTTAAAACTTTTAAACGTCAAGTATTTTTTATCCAGATAACAGCTTATCTCACTCTACACAGTTTCGAAATGAGATGAGATTTGTGATGGGAATTTGAGACGAGTAACAGTGGACGTGTAGTTCTGGGCTCGGCCACCTGGCGTCACACTCAAAATACTGCTTCTGCGAAGAAGAAGGAACAAAGTTGACTTCTTCACCTTCAACTTTTTTCAAAATATACTGCCCTAAAATTTCTAGTTTTTCTGAAAAACTCTCCACTTTTTAAGCACTTTCTGATAAGTACTCAAGGGTTGAGGTGATTTTTGGTTATATCGTGTGCTATGCGTTGTATAAATAAATACTAGTGCAGCAGCAAATCTGTGTTGAACATTAGTGGGTCTGTCATCTGTGCAGCTGATTTGTTTGTGCAAGAGAATGAAGATTTGATTTCCGTATTTGCTCCTCCATCCTACTAAATGACGCTCAGAATGGAAATTTTAGTTGTGAGTTAAAAAATAATTAGTATTAATTTCTACGCAAAATTTGTATTACTAATTATTTCATTGTATTTCTTTTGCAGAACGAAGAGTTGCTTAAAGACAGGTTGGTAATGAAGGTCAATAAAATTGTGATCACGTGATAATTATTTCGTATACTATTTAATTGTTAAGGTTGACCCCGTGCCGTGAAGTTTGTCCCATTTTGTTGGATCTCTTCATTTGGAGGAAAGATGTTTATCCGTGTATTTTGGTGGGTGCAGTTACGTCCATTTTTGGATTGATTTGGTATTACGACCCTTCCGTCGTCACTGGTAAGTTCAATTCAGAGATTTGAACTTGGCTTGAGAGATATGCAAATTGTCTATAATCAAAATAATATTTTTTTCAGCGTTCTCTGTTTTGGGGCTGATACTCACCGTGGGAGATTATCTACTTCCCCTTGTGTCCAAATCCGTCTCTACAGCAGATTCTTGGAATTCGGAGAAGGAAAAAAAGTTTTCAATTTTAGTGAACCGTGTGACATTTTTTAGTGTACAGGTCTGGAACTTTCAAGTGACATTGGAAGAATGGAAGAAAGAGTATCCAAATGCGGTAAGTAGAAGTTAACATATGTTGAATGTACGTTGATAAGACTAAAAAATAATTAATTAATTACTATATTTTACAGTACTCATCAACCCTCATCGTGGTGCTTTTGTTTATGGCTTGGATAGGAAACGCAGTCAACAACCTTTTCCTGACTTATCTATTTGGTAAGTGAAAATTGAGTTTGAAAAATCTTTGCATAAGGCATTTTTAATACAAAAATGCCATATTTGCAGTCGTTTTCTTGGCACTCCTCCCTGGTCTCTTGCACCGTCGGATTCTACACGTTTATGTCTCTAAAATTGTTCTTTTCGTCTCCAATTTGATTGGAAGCAAGGCAAAGAAAAATTAAAAATGGTGCAGCATGAAACTGCTCTCTTGTCCTAGTTTAATTATATGAATACCAATACGTGACATTTTTCTTGGACATTGTTTTGTTGTTTGGGTGTATTATCGTGACAATCTACTATTACACCCACATCACGTCTCCATCAATATTATTACTGGGTAAAGTTCCACTCGAAACTTTCGACTTGTTTTATATGGGCAGGGTATATATTAATATATAATCATTTTCCATCCAATTAATCCAATACATACATGAGTCAGCTAAATAATTTATTTAATCACAGTTAAAAATTCGATTACACGCAGTAGCTCTGATGCTTTCAAGGGCAGTAATAACACACTCTGGTCACAAGTTTGCGATAATTTTTACATATATACACACAAGTTACGTTTTAATTATTAATCATATCGACCGACACACAGCGCATTATTTTAGCTAAATAGCTAAAATAATGATGATGAAATATTTCATCATCATTATTACGTAGGAGTATGGCTACGTAGAAGTCTGAACATGAACACCTCCATTACCACGTTACTTTATTTACCATTAAACTCATGTACAAATTCACATCAACAATCTACATACACGTTAATAAGTAGAAATTACTAATAATTATCTTGTTTTAATTATTTAATAACGTAGAGGTGAACTCGAGCGACAATGACTTGACATTATGTATTCTTACTATTTCATTTCTGTAAATTAGTTCATGTTGACGCATATGCATGTGCAACAACGATCGATCTCATTCATAACTCGTAATTAACAAGTGGGGATGACGATGGAGCTATATTTACATACATGGAAGTTACCCGTCTTTTAGAGTTAAACTTGTGCTAAAAGATACATACATATAAATTGTGTAAGTATAAATGAAAGACACTTTTTGGATAACTGCAATGCAAAGTTATCTTAATGTTACTCGTATTTGATGAATTATTATATGTACATAAATAGTATGCAACATGTTGATATTTTAATTGTGGATTTATTAGTGTCGTCCAAATTGTAAGTGTACGTTACGAATTTTAAAGTCAGAATAACAAATTAGCAAACAGAGTAAAGTAAATATGTTGTCAGTTGCAATGCATGAAATACTAATATGTTTCGTATGTGTAGTTAGTTAAACATGTATACTTACACATTTGGGTGGGGTGATGACATTTATAGATCAAAATAACAAAAATCGGTATAGTACAGGTTTTATTGTAAAATTTAGAACATAGTGCAAAATGTTACGTTGTTAGTTCGTTAGATTAGTTGTTCATGTATGGTAGCATTGTTTTCTAAAATGGAAAATGAACCATGTATGCTTTAAATTGTATGTTGTGACAAAAAGTAATGTAACATTGTTATTAAAATTGGAGTGGGGACGATAGATAAAAATAATATATATATACTCGATAACTCGTTAATTCATTAAAATGAGGTTAAAAATATATACAATAAAACCAACGCACAATTGTTGTTCAAACATTTCATGGCAAGGTCACAATTATTTGTGTAAGGTCAACTAAGTTACCTGAAAAGTGGTTTGAGTGCTGAGCCATGACCTTTTAGGGGTAAAATTGGCACCACATTAATAATTTATGAGGTAGGAATGTGAGACGGGAATCCAAAAACTAAAAAGTTGGACTCAACGCTGAGGACAAAATTTCATTTCTCAATCCTTCCATCCATGATGCATTATAAACTTTAGAAGGATCAGAGAAAGTGAGTTTTAGCTTTTCATCCGATCCAGTTAAGATGCGAGACACGGCGTTGTCGAATCAATAATTTTGTCATTTTCACCAGAAAATATGATACATATATATACATACCTTCGGTGGGTAGGTGGAAAATCAGAGTAGATACGAAAAACGTAGGCCAAATGACAAGAAATTGGAAGGTAATGTATGTATGAAGCAATTCTGGGAAATGAAAAGTATGGACGAACAAATGGAAATTTCAAATGGTTTTATTCAGTCTTTTCGTAGCATGTGGGACTGCGTAGCTCTGCTCTGTGCAAATTCGTATAATAAGTCACAGGTAAAAAGTGAAAGTCATTCATCCATAGAATAGAATTTTGTTTTCGAGGACTTTTAAACTGAAGAAGTTCTCGAGGAATTCTGACCCGAAAAATGGGGTTGCATAGACCTCCCCGATGACATATCTGAATTTGAGCCAACACCACCAACCAACTGAACCCTTGGTGTCGTCGCCAGGTTCACGACATTATGAACGTTCGTATTCGAACTGGCCGCACTTCCACTTCCATTTTGACGATTATTAAAGTTTGGACCTTCTTTGATCGATTCGAGCATAGCGTCACATGGGAGACGAGGCATCTTCGAACTGCACCAAGGGAGATGTCCCGTCCTTCGAAAATTCCGCTGGTCATGCCACACTTTTCCAATTATGAGAACAATGAGTACCACCTCAGCCAGGATGATGAGAACTAAGGAAAGCTCCGAAGTGATATTGGCATCATCACCCGAGTCAGAGTGACACACATCCGAATATTGCAAGTCCTTCACTCTCTGTGATGGAGAAAGTTGTCATGTCATGATAATCATTACTTTAATTGGGCCTGAGGCATGCTTATGTATGTACTTACCTTCTTTGAGAGGAGGGTCGTCTCATCTTCACCATCTCGACAGAAAATATCCTTCACGTCCCGAATCCGTTTAGAATTTTCAATCAGTAATGGCTGCAACATACATTAGCGAAAGCATGCTTAAGTAAGACTGGTTATTCTTCCGGCTAAAATACCTTGATCTCCTTAATAAAGTTGCAATCGCATGTGATTGAGTTTTCCCCAAGTAGTGTGACCCCTTGACCTCTCATAGTTCTCAAGGATATTAATATATTAGCAGGAATCTACAATAATTAAGCAAAAATTTAATATATAGTTAATATTTTTGCTAACAATTTCAACTACTTAAATTACATTAAATAGATATTAAAATCATGAAATTTAACTTACCGTGTTAAACCCATTATTTTTTAAATTAAGATAATTATACTTTTCCATAAAGGGCGCTTCTTCAGTTAATGTTTCTAGATCGACTTGATTATTCTGAGCATCCAAAATCAGTAGGTTGGCATACATTGGAAGTTTCAAGGGTGTCAAATCCGAAATTTTGTTATCTGAAATGTTCAGCAACCAAGTTTGTGGTGGAACAGGGGGAAGTTTCGTCAAGTTTTTGGAAGTGCAGTTCAATTTTAATGAGATCGAGATGCGTGCATCGTTCCCATTGCTCCCCTTTTCTGGATGGTCGGCTTGACCTTTATTTTTATTTCTGGCATTTCCTTCTCCTCCCGAATCTGGTTGAGTGATAGGGAGGTGACCTTCCCCCTTTTGCAGGGCGTACAAGCTGCAACCGCTACACAACGACTTGTCCACAGTGCTACATGTTTTCTCCAAGTCCTGTCAATGTAACAATAATGTGAGAAACAAATCCAATTATTCCACAAAAAACTTTCTCCTCGCAATAATTTTCTTATTTGGTTCTGCGCCCTACTTTTGGGACAGTAATGCGAACGAAATGACCATTTAGTTAGAGGGATTCAATGATTTTTTTCTCAGAATAGCGTGGGTGGACGGATGATAAAAATAAATATATAAATATAAATCCAGACAATCTGTGCATCGTCTCATATTTCACTAACATAACAATCTTAATCGTGATCCGTCATAACTAACTTTGTTAACAATTGAATATGTGAAATTGTATCCATTTATATAAATACACCTATATTTATTCCCTATGTAAGGAAAGTGAAAGTAAGTATTTTACGATACGTCCCTTTAACTCATAACATAAATAAAGCCGATAAAGATCAAAGAGAACTGGACATGGTCATGGTAAGGTCATAGAAATTGTTGACAAGTATTTTCCCATTCTACCAAAAACTTTGAACTTTATCGGGAAACTTATAAGGAAAGAGAAAGCTACAGAAATCTAGCTGATTGAATGTTCAATCAAACGGATTGGGTTGAGTAAGCCTGAAGTTAAGTGAGGCTCATTTTCTATCCTGCGTTAGGATCTGCTGCTCTGCTCTGTACTGTACATCCATCAGATACCACACAACGCGATCAATCAGCTTTCGAGTTTCGACACAGGACCCGAGCAACTAGTGCCTGAATGACTTTTGAGTTGATTGAATGACACCCACCCACTACACCTCCTTGCACAACGGCATGGGAGAAATTGGCAACCTTACATTTCATCATACCTGTTGCAATCTCTTTCATCTCGTTCCAAGTCCCACGTAGGACAGGAAATTAAGTTATATTATTTAATATAGAAAGACGGGTTTGATTGGATACTTACCTCGCGTGCTTGCAAAACTCCTTTCACCGTGTACTGGAAAACTCGAACGCCTTCGTCAACTCCGCAAAATGTTTCGTCCGCATCGGAAAGTATGAGAGGCTCATTTCCGTCCACTTTCTTGGTCCATGTCCACAGCTTTTCCCATACGAATTCACACTTCAAGTGGTTCCCTGGATAAGATGAGATGTATTTTTTTTACTCCTTTGTCACCCAATAATGTGGCAAAATTGTTAACAGATTGTTATCAAATTGGATAGTCTGATTGGTGCGCACAAAAAAAACTAGCAAAATAATGCGACAAAGCAGAAAAAGAAATTGGATGGAATTATTTCTCATGATTAGCATTCCCTATTTTATAAACATTACATATAAATGTAAATTGCGAAATCTCTAGCAGGGATTGCGCAAGAGATACACAGACAGGATTCGAATTAAAGTGCTGTCTTGTGATAAATCAATTTAAAATCAAGCCTAGATTTCTCAGAAAAAGGAGTCGGATCTAAAATAAATACGAATTTCCCATATTTTGTTGTTGCTTGCTGTACTAAACAATATTACTCAACAAAATGGATTTGCGGATCTTTGCCCCCCATTAAAAGCTACCCATGAAATGCTACCCATTATATGCTACCCGTGATGATCTGCTACCCATGAAATGCTACCCATTATATGCTACCCGAGATGATCTGCCCCCCATTATATCCTACCCGACCCATTTTCACTTTCTTCTTGCAAATTAAACCAAAATGGATACCCCGTTTTGCGTCGTAGTGCAACATAAGAGTTACTGTTTATTTACGCAAAATTAGTCAAATAATAAATTCTCAAAAACGAATCAATACATAAAATCTCGTAAAATCAGCCGAACAATAAATTCTCAAAAAACTAATCAAGATATAAAATCTCTTAAAATCAGTGGAGCAACGAATTTATTATTTGACTGATTTTACGAGATTTTACATAGTCTCAACTTAAAAAGTGATAGTAGAGCAGACGACTATATTAGGTTAGTTTTTAGGAATACGTCCGAAATTAATTGACAAACTGTATCATTCCCGAGTCAGAAATTTATAAGATGACATTTTGAACAGGTTCTAATTGAGCTGAAATTTGGTACAGAAGTTGTTAATGGGTCCTAATGGAAGAATATGAATTGAAATTCAACACATTTTCACCTGAACAGACACTATGGGGTGACCCATACCAATTTTTCAAATTCGTCAAATCGAGCTGAAATTTGATAGACAAGTTGGTAATAGCTCCTAATGAAACAATATGAAGTAAAATAAGAAAAAAATTCATCTTGACCTTAATGGGCGACCCATACCGATTTTTTGAAATTCTCTTATCGAGCTGAATTTGTTAAATAGCCTGCCAATCATTATAAGTAGAAGAATGTGAATTTAAATTGGAAAAATTTATCTAAATTTTAAATTTTTTGAATTGCATTTACGATAAAATGTCATGCAAAAGTCGGATTGAATGAAAATATGTGTGCACCAACAAAAGTATAACCTAGCCACCCGCGTGGCTGGAATTTACTTATGTTACGTCGAATAATAACGTAGGATAATATTCTTAGAATTTTAGGAAAAACTATTCGCTCGTTAAAAAGTTATGGTCATGGTCAATACTGGTGACCAGTGGATATCACTATATCTTTTAATATGTTCATGTGCATTTACGATAAAATTTCATGCAAAAAAGTCGAATGAGAGTGATAATCACAACTAGGCCTGGCGCGGGCTATATCAAGTCTGCACTGTAGGTTTTTAACATTGGTCAGTATAGGGAAAATTCCAGAATTTGTGAAGAAAAATATCTAAAAAAAGTCAGCTTTTTACCATCGAGTTTTCCACAAAATACCAATTAAGCACTCGCATTTTGAGAAAATTTGAGAAATTTGCATTATTTTCAAATACGTGATATACTTGGTCCTCAAGATTTTATGTATTGATTCGTTTTTTGAGAATTTATTATTTGACTAATTTTGCGTAAATAAACAGTAACTCTTATGTTGCACTACGACGCAAAACGGGGTATCCATTTTGGTTTAATTTGCAAGAAGAAAGTGAAAATGGGTCGGGTAGGATATAATGGGGGCAGATCATCTCGGGTAGCATATAATGGGTAGCATTTCATGGGTAGCAGATCATCACGGGTAGCATATAATGGGTAGCATTTCATGGGTAGCTTTTAATGGGGGGCAAAGATCCGCACACCAACAAAATGTTTGATTCGTTTACTTTCTCCTAAAATTTGTTGACTCTATAGAATCTAGATATTCTCCTAAATATAAGTCTACTGGGATGCGACCACATACATAACCAATCTCATGTCCTGTCAGCAACAACAAACTTCCCCACAGGGAAAAATCTGTTTTCTTGCAAAACGCCTGTAATAATCGTAAGTAGGCTCAACCTGTACATATGTGTGTGACATTCTTATCAAAGACGGCAGAATTGCCCAGGTTGCTTCAGTAGAGGAAGTGAAAGCAAATTGGCTGTAGGTGTAGGAACTGACTAGACATATGCTGAATGGGCATAGATGGACTAATGCGTGGGACGTGTACATATTTGTGTAGGAAGAACGAAAGCTCACTTTTGAATGGAAATCTAACGAGCCAAATCAATCAAAAGATTTTATGGTTCAGAAATTACAAAAAAAACAGCCGTCTCAAATTGAACATGCAATTAGTAGAATATTACATTTATAACTAGCTCACCCGACAAACGAAGAGAAAGCGGTGGTCCCCCCAGGTAAAAAATATATTTTGGCAACTCACTAATTTTATTGTGAGACAGATCAATTACTTGAAGTTGATACTTCCTCCTCCGCTCATTAGTTGTCGTATCGATAACGATATTTTCACCACCAGTTTTGGTATAATTACCCTCAGTATCACCATTATCACCGTTTATTAATAAAGACTCATTATCACTGCTTTCTCCACTTTCTTCTCCAATTGTAGGAGACGAGGTAGGGGAGATATTCACTTCAGAATAGGAAACCCAACTCAATGTCTCTTCATTTTCGTCGTCATCGTTGAAATTATGTGTGTAACTTGTGTAACCTTCGGTGGTGGCAATATTCTTGTCACTTTTGTCCCCTCTTTCCCAAGTAATGTTCATTGTTCTTAAATTGTTGTGGGACACGTCCAAAATTTTAAGAGAGAAGGGGATAACACCCGAAAGGAATGAAATATTAGATTTCGTCACTGACAGGTGTCTAAGGGTAGAGAACCTTTGAAATTGAGTTAGGTCCAAAGATGTCACGATGCTATTCGAAATGGAGATTGACGTTATTACAGAGTCCTGAGTAACAATAAAAAAGAGAAGAATTGAGCAAATCAGAGTGATGCAAAAGTCTAATTTTATCAAAATGAACGTTCCCATCGTGTCGTGTTAAATAAAATTGTCAAAAGTCGCTCCATCAATTTTTTTACGTAATAAAATCACGTCTTTGATAAATTGAACACGTCCAAACAAAATCACATTTTTATCAGTGACTTTCTTCTCACCATATTTTGAGGGATTTGTTCCAGACTTTTAGTCAAATTGGTGACTTGACTGCATTCCACGTGAGTCGACCCCATCAGTGTCAAGTCATTAATTTCCTCATCCGTCTCAGAAATGGTGCAGTGACGGCTCACCTCCGTAATTTCAATGCTTGACCCTCCTCTAGTCATGACTAGATCTCTCGAACTTCGGCTGCTGGTGGGGGTGGTGGTTGTGTTTTTAGTCATAAAATTGACGTCACCATTTCCCAAGCTCTGGTTGTCACTGCTGCAATGCGAATTGAGTCAATTTACTTATTAAAAAATTGTGATGCATGTAGTTAACATTCAAGTTGTGTTTCTAACCTCATAATAAGCACCGACAAGACAAGTGTCATCAGCGTAATAGAGAATGAAACCATTTGTCCTGAGAACTTTTTAAATCTCTGCCCTGCAAACATTCATGGTATTTAAAGTTCTTGGAATCTGGAGCTATTTAATACTCTGTAGATGTACATACGAGTATCTATGCACATACTCAAGTAGGCAGTTTCCCCAGAAAAACGAAAGACCTCTTTTTCTCAAAGGCCTGTTTTACTCATTTCATTTCATTCACATATTTCCGTTCTCTTTTATCTCTAACAAACCGGTTTCAAGTGAAAGTCAAGAATTTCTCCTGCTTTTTAGAACTATGTACATATTCCTCCCTGCTTTTGTTAGAGGAAACTAAATTGAGAAGTTAAGGACACTTCACTGAAGGATGTGAATGAGAGAGCTGAACAGTCCTTGCGACCATTTCGCAAAGTGGTTACGTGGATATTGTGCGCGTATGTGTTTTGTAAAGCAAATACTTGTGAAGTCTCCCCTTGAACAGTTCAAGTAGAGTAATAAAAGGGTATTTTAAACTTTAAAAGAATTTTGCACGTTACGAGTATAAAATTAGATCCTTGCATTATCTGTGCTGGCGCAAAGGCGAACATTTCGGTGCCACGTTTTTTACGTACTTTCCCTATTTGGGTAATTTAAGTATCCAGCCATAAATAACCTAGCAAGACAAGAAACATGTATTGGACATAAAAAAAGCCCTTTCACCAGAAAGTGCTTTTAGTTAGTGAAAGTAGCTGAATGGCACATGAGGTGTCACATGATGGTCAGCACGGTGAAACCATTTGTCAATAATAAAAAAAAAGCCAGATTTAGATCAGTACAAATGAGAATGAGACAGGTACATACATTGCACTTTTGTGGTCTCATTACTTTTTCCAAAAATGCGAGCACTTAGAGAACTGCTTATAATTGAAGCAAACAAAGAACATTGAGTAGAATGTCGAAGAAGCGAAAGCAAAAGAAAGCAATCCATTATTTGAACTGTGATTCATTACACAAAATAATCATCTGTACCCTGAACCCACCTCACCAATTTAATATTGGCAAAAGCAGGGACATAAAGGTCAGCCACAAATCAGGATCTGACTGTTCAAATGGTTTTGGGGCTTTTATGGTTTCATGTTTCATTCACTTTTAGATTCCTTAATTTGAATGGGCATCCTCAATAGTGATTCTGAACCGTGTGCAGTTTGGCCTGTACTAATATAATCTAATACGTCTGCTCAAATCTATGAATGATCGAGTGAATGCTGGTGAAATATGTACATATTTATTTACTATGGCTTCGTTTCATTATGCGTTTATGTCAATAATGTTTATGTTAATAATAAATAATACACATTATGCGTTTCATAATATCTGTAACACAAGAACAAAAACGCGGCATAGAAAATACATAGAAAAACTTACTAGTACTCTGATTAAATTTCTTTGTATATTGCATAATATCTATTTTTGTCTAGCTTTCTAGATTCTAGATTAAGATTTCGTTTCGATTTTCGTGTTGTTTTAAATTATATGCAAAAGACCAAAACGAGTCGACGAAAAACAAAATTTTCAATTGCTATCGAGAAATAAACTACATATTTTCTTAAAATATTAACAAAAGGATTAAAGATTACCTTATTTTTCTATTTGTTGGTTGTGCCTTGTATATTCTCGTAAGTTAGTTTTTTTCAAAGAATACAAACTCCAGGTAGAAATGTTACCAAATTACGATTCTCGGAAATTGAGAAGTCTCAATTTCCCCACTCTCATACACGAAGACTACCCTGACTTTCTCTCCTCGTCGCACAGCCAGCCCAGAAACCCTGTGAAAACTGAAGAATTCGAGAAAACTCCCAACTTTTATATCACATCTCCGCAGTCAGATTTGCAGACAGGTCCAGCAGCAGCCAACCCAAAACCTAACCACTTTCACTTTCCTTGTTCTACTCACTTTTACTTTACGGCCGACAACACATCGTAGATTGCACGAGACAGTTTTTGAGTATTGGTGAATTGAACACTCGGTCCTTGCTTCAGGTTGCATAGCACTATTGAATTATGAAGCCATGCATTGCCTTTCTGGGTAAAATGTGGAGAAATTGTCCCAAGTTTTAGTGATGTGTGTGTGTGTCGTGCTCCTTCGTGGTTGACTAATTTCACAGCAGAATACGATGCACCATGTAGGCAGAATTGGGCCAAAATTTTACTTCCTTCTTTCCCGACCAAAACAGCATAATTGAATTATTGCCACCTCAAAATGACGAAAATCCCAGGCCGGCTATAACTCCGTCTTGTTAGTGGGAGGAAGAAGAAGAATCTTTTGAATTTGCATCTCACACCAACAAAAGTTAGAACTAATACTGCATGAATGACGACAACCTTTACGAGAATAAGAGGAATGTAATACCTACATACATCGTTGGAATAAACAAAATTTTGCTGAAAAGTTCAACTTTAAATTACACTAGAGAAAAATTAGTTAGTTTTTGTTCGTAGAATGATATCTTCCTCTTCTAAGTAAACTTGTAAATGCATAACACGCAATTGTTCTGGAATTGCTTATCGTGATGATATCTCACGAAGAGATAAGGGGTGTCACGCAATTTATCCATTTGTCCTTGATGAATTTACTTTTTTGTTCTAATCCTAATAACCATTTTAGATCTGGTTCTTTCTATTAGCGTCAAATTAATATTCGTGACACTTGGGAGTGTAGGTGCTGGTGAAAGCTGACATTGAAACGTCTTACATACATTTCATCGGATTCTGAATGGGAAAATAATGAAGATAAATTAAATGAATTCAGGAATCAAGCAATTTCTTTATTACATAAAAAAATATATGTATGCAGTATTAGTTGTCTTATCCACATTGAAATACGTAACAATCTACATACAAACACAGGTAATAAGATATGTACATTTATAATTTATTCACCATGTTACACCGTTTCATATCATGTCATTTACTCCTCTTCGTGTCAATACGTGCACATATTCCTAATTAATACGTCGTATAAATGCAACAAAATGAAAAAAAAATATGAATACAGTATGTAACAAAAGTATAGCTACGATGACATATTTTTTATCTCGACATGATGCCGTAATATTTCAACTTTGAAACTCCGTACAAAAATGTCAAAACTATCTGCCGACAATTTCCTCGTCGCCGATTTTTAATGTCACAGATAGGTCAAAGGTCAGGATTATTTTTCTATAAAAATTTGAGGCGTCGAAAAAAAAACTTCGTGGATAATTTTTTTTGAACTTTGCAATATTTTTTACTGGATGCGGCATGCGTTTTGAAGAATAATGAGCTTTGGTCGGACCGTGTACGATTTTTTTGGCGCCCACAGGAATTTTTCGCCCAGGACAGGTTGGAGGTCTAAAATCGCCGCCTTGGCGAAAATTCAAAAACTGAAATATACGTTTGCATATCCGGACCCTCTATATGCAAACGTATATTTCAGTTTTTGAATTTTCGCCAAGGCGGCGATTTTAGACCTCCAACCTGTCCTGGGCGAAAAATTCCTGTGGGCGCCAAAAAAATCGTACACGGTCCGACCAAAGCTCATTATTCTTCAAAACGCATGCCGCATCCAGTAAAAAATATTGCAAAGTTCAAAAAAAATTATCCACGAAGTTTTTTTTTCGACGCCTCAAATTTTTATAGAAAAATAATCCTGACCTTTGACCTATCTGTGACATTAAAAATCGGCGACGAGGAAATTGTCGGCAGATAGTTTTGACATTTTTGTACGGAGTTTCAAAGTTGAAATATTACGGCATCATGTCGATATAAAAAATATGTCATCGTAGCTATACTTTTGTTACATACTGTATATGTTACATACATATGTAGATATACTGATACTCACTGGCGCTGAAAATAATACAATTTACTTCCTTAATTCACCATACTTGCATCCATCCAATCAATCTCAATTCATATTGTATTCATATTATTCAGAGTAATAAATCATTCACAAGCTACATTTACAATTACATAGGCAAAACATGACACACATAGTTATGTAAGAATATATAATGTACAAAATAAATGAGAAATATTTGGCAACCATTCTTTGTAACGGTAATGTAAATAGTTTTGTGCGATGATTAACTAATTTTCTATACAAATTCACGCGTGTTTACAATTCTATTTACAACGTCTCACAGATTTTCAAGTTTTAAAAAAGGAAAAAACATAATTAAAAGAAATTAATTACGGATGTACAAACAATATTAAAATAATTTTATTATCTAATACCTACTCGATACATGCATTACCTCCTCCGGGCGCCCTTTGACCCGCAAACTCATCATAATTACACATACCACCCACTGGATCAAAGGTCAAAAGACTGGGACAGGAATAGACCCAAGCTCTCAAACTCCCGTCGTTCTCTTCTCCGGGGACACAATGCACGAACTGCTTACAACTAATGGGATGTGGGAAAATGCCCTTGTCCAAACATTCCACGGATCCGTCCCCCTTCAGCTTTATCTTCTCCGATAAGGGCACAACTGCTCGGTCACTCCATTTGTTGTGGTTATTCGTACCATGGAGAATCAATCCTGGATTAAAACTGTTCGTGTTGAGGTTTACGTTCGGATTTCGATGCTCGATGGACTTCAGTTGCTTAACTTGTGGGGGTTGTTTCGTCGGTAAGCTGGGCTGTTTAACGTGCAACTGTTTAACTTGTATTACCGGTGGGGGTTGAGATTCAAGATTTCTCTTCGCAAAACCACGATCTCCTCCCACAGCGAGTTGTTGATGTTGATGCAGTTGGACGGTGGAGGTGGACGGGGTGAACGTTTCCGTCCTCAGACCGGTAGTTCGTTGCGTGGGGGATTTTTGAAATAGGTCTTGAGTGGGTAATACTTGTGGTAGGATGGGTTCTTCATCCTCGTCGTAATAATAATAATAATAATCTGATTCTTCGCCATCATCTTTTGGCGTAGTTGTTTTCGGGGAGAGCGTAGTTGGGCGACGAGTCGTCGTTGTTGTGGTGGTGGTTGTAGTCGTCGTAGTGGCGGGTGTGGTCTTGGGCTTGACTCGACGTCTGAAAACGATCGGAGTCGTGGACGATGTCACGACGGGAAAATCCTTTACAGATTTCTCTGTCGTTGAACGATATCGAGATCGTGACCTGGAACGGAGATAGTTATCCGAGGGCGTCGTCGAGGTCACCACTTTGTACGAGGAGCTCGCAATTGAGCGAGACCTCGGTTTATTCGGACGCTGAATCTCATTTCCAGAAGAATGGCTGCTATCCACACGTCTCGAAATTTCCGAACCCGTGAGCAAATCTATATCTGCGATGCTATTTAAAGAGAAGTGAATAAAGAGAAAAAAAGAGAAAGTGAGTACAAACATGGTTATAATGGAGGAGGACAGACACTCATCATCATCGATAAGGGTTGGATGGACTATTTATTTTTCTAAAGTCAACTTCAACTCGGTAAAGTACACACTATGTATAAGCGGATAAAAGATAATGCACTTGCTGAAACTGAAGTGAAGTGAAAGTGGGTGGAATAGTGGAAATATGTAATTTAATGACGATCCTTGCTAATAATAACTGACCTTGATCCCGACTTTTGCGGGAGCATAAACTAACTATGCCCTACCTCATTAAGTGGTGCTCTAATGGAATCAAAGAGAATTATAAACTAGCCTCTGCCTAATAATGTTTGTATAGTTGAGAGGAGGAGGAGGATTTCACTGGTTAGCTACATAAATTAAGGACCAGAGGAGATATTCTACCCAAAAGTAGTTACCGATAATCTCCTCCAAATTCAAAGATTGCATGAACGAACGAACCAACGAAATGAGCAAACTTTCATCCAACTGAATCATCCAATTTCTCTGCCAGAGTTAATTATATATTGCTCTTCATTCATGCAAGGACTACACTACTCAATAAAACTTTGTGCAGGCAGGGGAAGAGTGCAAATCTATTTTTCTTATGCGGGTCACACAACCCAAAGAGAAGGAGGCAGGTTTGTTTTAAAGAGAAAGTTAGTTTGAAAGGAAATAAGTAACAAAGTCTGAGGAGAGATGCGAGTTGTTGCATCATTTGTATATGTCAAAGTTATCTCATTAAGAGGGCGAGATTTTAAACAGTTCACATCACGGTTAGAGAGAGATAAATATTTAAATAGCAATACGTGCATGAATTAACAGGAGTCAGTTATCATGATCCTGCGGTTACATAAGTACATACTAAGCGGGGACATGTCACATATGATTATTATGCAAAATGCTAATTTTACATGCAAACAAATCCTTAGTTATTTTTCAGGCATGGCAAAACGACGAGGTAGATATGTGCATTAAACCTGAAAAAGTTTATAGAGATGAATAGAGAAATTTAAGGATAAGTTTCAGACATATTTAAAGAATTTATTTAAAGTTTGAAAATAGTAGAAAACCGAAAATATTAAGGATAAGTATACACAGGCAGAGTAAAGTAGGTAAAAAGACAGATAAATACAGGTTATCGTTACGCAGAAATATATGTATAGAAGGATAAGAACTCATGTATTAAGATTTATAAGCTTTTCAACATGCTTAAAGTAAAAATGTTAGTATTTTGTGCAGATTTAAATTCAAAGCCCATCTCGATTTTCGGGACAACCACGAGGGAAACGTCGTCGCAAAAAAAACGGGGGAAAGCAAAGCATTTATATCATTCTTATCAAACTGTCATGTCGTCATGTCAGTCATGTAGCATCCACTTGCAAGTTACATATTCCTTGTTTGAAAGGATTTGCTCCTCTCCAAAATCCACACACTATGTATTTACTTGAAAACCCAACGATCCCAAGCTGCTGATCTCGTTCCTTTGTCACCGCACAAACCACGACGACGCTTTTTTTCCAGACGACAGTATACATACGATATCGTCGCCACCCCATTTGTTTGTTTTGCTGTATTGCAAACTGTCATGTATGTACGGAAAGAGGGCTTATTCTTACATTAGTGGAAGAAATCTAGCCCGTATTTCTCATTGTCAAGTAACTGATCCAGTCATTTTGTCTTGTTGAGCGATAGCTGTGATGATGATACAAGGTCAGTCATCCTGTCGTCCTTTGGGAAATTATATAACGTCGTCCTTCCAGTCGTACCAGGAGCAGATTTTTTGAGTCATTTTAATCCTAAAATCCCATCTATTTACGGTCTTCACACCACCACCACGACTACCCGTTCAAGGGTATGTGTAAACGGGAAAGTGAAAGTTAGGATGCATATAATACTTTGAAAAATAAATAAATTGTTTGTGTCACATTGGTTCGTGGACAGTTTTATTTTACAGCGTCAAATCGTCAATTGCACACTAATCTTATTAACTTGGTCTACAATATATAATACAAACCGTGATGTACTCGTAAGTAAAGTATCCAAATTCATGTAGGAACTTTTACGTATCAATGATGGTCATGGTCAGAGGAAGAGGGGAACTGATGTCGAAGCAATAATCGCAAAAAGTAAAACTTGACTTTGCCCCATCCACCTGTTATCATACAAGATTAGAGCTACATAGATAAACTAAACCCACCCAAAAAAAAGTGCAAAAATGTGCAGCAACCAAACAACACAACAATTACTACAATTATTAATTTAAGTCAAACAATATGACACAAACATAAATGTACGAGCTAGCAGCACAACTTTCTACGATAACTACAATGTACACTTAAAAAAACTTTTAGTTTAATTTAGTAGTAGTTCAGTTAGTATAAAAAAATAGAAATTGAAAAACTACTTCCGCATTTGTGGTAAAAATGGGTATGATTTTGTTTAAATTATGTGGATTGGATTTCTGAAATGTGTTTAACCCTAATAAAATAATAAAAATGTATGGAAATATTCATGTCTGTGTAAAAAAGGGTTATAAAAATAAACTGCCTCTGTTCAATAATTGAGACGTCTGTATGTATGATGAATGTTTGTGTGAAATGGATTTTTATGTTCACCTTTCGTCGTTGCTCGTGGCTTCAGAAACGGTAGCTGGGAGGGTCGTAGTCGTTCCTTTGTTCCTGTTTTGGAACAAATTTCTCCTGTTTCCCACCGAGAAATTTTTTGCCTTTCTACTATTCGCATCATCCGCGGAAGTTGAGGAATCAGTAGCAGCGGTACTTGAACTACTGCTTTTTGTGGAAGGTGCTGCAGTGCTCGTGGTCGTTGTACCTCGAGTCCTGGATGCAAATCCGTTCGTTTTTCTGGTAGGAATTCGGACCCTTGGATTCGTCGTGGGTGGGGCTGGTGTATCCGTGGATTTAGGTTTGGGCGTGGTGGTCGTAGGCTTTTGGGTAGTTAACGTCGTGCTGTGTTCCACGATGGATTGGTCGTTGGGATCCTCTTCACTGTCATATTCCTCTGAAGCGTCGTCCTATTGAGGGATCAAGCACATGGAATAATTTTAATACTCTGGCTAGACGTTATATTTATGCACAAGATCGCTTAAAAAATGTTGATATCTTTAAATCTGCTGAAAAACATGTCATCTTATCTGATCGTTTATTCCTACTTCCTTTCCGAAAATATTTGTATCCTAACTAAACCCCATCTTCTTTTGACTTCTTTTTTACGGAGACCACAAACACGAACAACTTGAGTTCTCATAAGCTCGATTTGACAAGAAAAAGGGAAGAAAAGCTCTTTGCTTTCCCTTTCTCTAGCTCCTTTCACATCTTCCCCCGCTGAGCCGTGCCAAGAAGTAAGCAAGCAGGCAGCCCAGTTCAGTAGCTATTTTGCAATATAAGTTTTGTGCCGAGGAGAAAGTTGGACGCAACAGAGCAAGTGAAGCTTGCTATCAGCAATACAAATTTATGGGACTCTTGTGGCTTTAGCTGGTTTTTCTTTCTCTCCTTCGTACTGTTGGTGGGTGGGTTTGCTAGTTCTTCTCCAACTTATCCGAGAAATGTGGTCTGGTCGCTTTCTAAATCATTTTTAAGCTGCCTCGTTAACCCCACTCACACAGAATGGCAATGGCGGAATGTGAATGTTTTTGTTATATTTTATTCTAACTATGTAAGTATTAGTCCAATTTGTGCAAACCAAACAGCCAACTAGGACCTATTTCTAACCCGGTTTGTTGCACTATATGCGAATCCAATGTTCCATAAAAGACTAGGGTAATTGAAACATTAAGGATCTCATGAGCTGCCGAGTTTAGTTTCTAAAGTGAAATCAGACTCTGCTGGTCCGAGAATAAGGAGGAACGAACACGAGTTGGACCATTAACTTCTGGCAGAGCAAATAACAACGTCTCATTTTAACCAGGGAGCAAAACTCGGGTTTTATACTGGCCACAAAATTGCCTGAACAGACTGCAAATTTAGAGCAATAACGGTTTCAAGTCTGAGAGGAGAAGGAAAGAATCCCTTGAACTTGATTTTGTAAAGGGATTTTGTACCCCTGAAAATCTACGGAGGGAGAAAGTGCGAGTAGTACTTTCTCCTGGGTGAAATTTTAATCGACTCTGATTTTCTCGGTTGGTTGGACTAATTGCAGCAGATTTCCCCATTACTACCTACACGTAGTGCTGACTGATTGATGGGACATAAAAAAGTTTGGAGATAAAAGGCCAACAGATTGACATAGGACATTTCTCTTTGGAGGTTATTGGTACTTTGGTCAGAGTCAAGGTTATCACGTCTGCTTATGAATGGGTTAGTTTATGTGAAGGAGGAGGAGTTTTTAATGGTGTAAGAAAGAACGACGACATAAACCAGACCAAACCATTATCAGACAACGGCGCGACACTCTATAGCTTTCTTCTCCTTATAATAAAACCAGGAATAGAACTGTCTACGCATTAACGATCCCACATTATTTTGATGTGATTACGATTTCATCCCATTTTATGTAGCATGGAGCAATAATGCAATAAGGGTGTAACTAATTTTATAACTGGAGAGGTAATTTGCATGAAAATTGTTAAATCAAATTGAATCAAGTCTTGAAAACAATTAAGATTTGTCTGAATTTTAATTACCTCTTCAACAGCCTCCTCCACTTTCTTCGCTTTCGCCGCCTTCGTCTCGACGGGTTTTTCAGTCTTTGCATCGCTCGAGGAGGTTGTGCTCCTGGTTCGAGAGAGCTGAACGTATCTGAAGATAACATTATACAAGGAGAGAAAACATTAGGGCAATCGTTTTACACGGAGGATAATGAATGAATGAATCACTACTAAATATGTAGTATGAACTATGAACATTGCATGCACATGCACATTATCTCGATAAAAAACTGGAAAAGAACATGCTTTACAAGAGTTTTAGAGAAAGCAATAAAATTGACGAAGAAATGGTAGCTGTAAAGTAAGTGAGTTAGTTAGTAGTGAGTAGTAAATATATAGTTGAAATTATTAGGCAGTTAGTAGAGTATTGTAAGTAAATACATGCACTGTAATAAAGTAATAATTAGTCAGGATAGTAGCAATAAATATTAGATTTTAGTATTTTTAGGCATAAAATAAATTTAAATAAATATCAAAATGTTAAAAATCGTGACCACGCCACAAGAAATTATTGAAGACGAACCTAAGTCTGTTATTGCTACTGCTAGTTAGCCGAGAAGAGGATGGCGAAGTATTTGGACTTCTTTTTTCAGGGGTAGGCGTACTAACCACACTACTCCCCGAGACTTTAGCGTAAGGTCGACTAATTGTTACGTACCGTTCAGCGTCGTTGTCAGCGTCAGAGTCAGTATTGTCTTCGTCGTTGTCGTCGTCATCGTCCACCTTGGAGGAGTTCTCATTAGAGGAAGAAGACAAAGTGTCATTTTTTGTCCCGGAAATTTCGTCCAGAATTTTCTCATCGTCACGGCTAAATCGAACAACGATGGACGTTTCAGTGGAGGAAGGTGCTTTGGGAGTGGTTGTCGTCGTAGTCGATGTGGTCGTCGTAGTAGAAGTAGTAGAAGCCTTTTCAGTGCTTGTGCTCTTAACCTCATCAGTGCTTTTTTGTATGTCAGATGAGTCAGTCTGTTGTTTACTGTTGCGAGAGAGTGTCACATACTTTGGCCTAGAGTTGGTGTTGAAGGAGGGTTTCTTTTTCGGTGGGGAAGGTGCCACCTCCTCTTCGTCTTCGTCGTCAGCTTCTGGCGACGAGTCGGGAGCGTTTGTCGTCGTGGTACTCGGTCGGTTGCGTTGAATTGAAGTGTATTTCAGGGATTGAGCCGCAATCGGGTTGGAGTTTGAGCTACTGCTGCTGGTACCAAATCGGGGCCTGAAAATAAAATGATATTTATGTTCCGTGGTCAAACGAGATGTGAATTATAAATGGGTAAGTATTAGATTGGGGACCTTGTGTTAGTGGTTGAAGATGAAGATGGGGTAAACCGATTTCGAGTAAAGAGAGATGAAGAGGTAGACGTCTTGGGCTTTTCTTCCTCCTATAAATTGTAAATTGGAAGCAGTGTGCATAAAGTAAATTTCAAATTCTGTCTGGTGCAGGACCCATGGCATAAAGTATGTATATACAAATATTATTACCTCTTCGTCCTCATATTCCTCAATGGCCGCAGCAACGCTGGGATTTTCGTCCAAGTATTTCTCCAGCTCTTCGACTCCACCCAATTTTCGAATGAGTTTCAACAAGTCTTTTATGTCGTTGATTTCTTTAACGGATCGCCCATTGTCGACGTCTTGCTTTCCTTTGGATGAGGTTTCCGCTTTAGTTTTCTGTAAGACAACACGACATTAGAGCTAATTTCCTGTTTAGCCATCCATTTTTACTCACCACTGCAGGTTCTTCCTCTTCTTCTTCGTAATCCTCATCGTCATACTCCTCATCTTCAGGTGCTTCGGTGGTGGTGGTAGTCGTCGTGGGACGCGTAGTTGTGGTTGGTTTAGCAGTTGTTGTTGTCGTCGTTGTCGTCGTGGTTGTCGCAGCAGCGGCAGCGCTTTTATCCTTGCAAGCCACATTTCTCGCGTAATCACACGAGTCTGTATTTTTGTTGAAAAAGAGACCCGCAGGACAAGTGAAATGATGTGCGACGAGTCCAAGACCGGGGGCCTCCAGACACCAAAAGTACTTTTTGCATTCCCTGAGAATAATAGGTTCGTATTAAGTTGCATCTATTTTCATACGCATCGTCAGCATAATAATTGGCTCATTTTTATAATTTACTACCAATTGAATGTGACCAATTCTAGTCAAATAAAAAATTATTTCTTTCTATAATTTACAAAATTATGGTTGTGTTCAATTGAAAATTAAACGATTTTTCACAAACTTTGATCATTTCATATTTTAAAATCTATGTTGACATATTAACATAAACTAACCTCGGATGTGGGAAGAATCCGTCATCCTTGCATTCAAAGTCTACTCCTGGATCGGGTGTGGTTGGTGGTTCCGGAGTGCTCAAGGGGTTGGACGTCGTCGTTGGTGGAGCCGGAGTTGTTGTCGTGGTCGTAAGTTCCGTGGTGGTCGTCTTATTTTTCTTGTTTTTATTCCGACGATTCTTATTTCTCCGAGATTTTGTGGGAGCACCTGCAACAATAAAATTGAAGGTAAACATAAATGCAATCTTTTATTATTTTTTGACGTGATTTAGTACCCGTCGTGGTTTTCGGAGGTGCAGGCGTGGTCACTTTTCTATTGCTCAGGGAAGTGGAGAACCGGTTGTTTTTGTTGAGAGATGGACGATTTAATTTGGTCGTGGGGCGATTGGCAGAAGAGGAAGCGAGGGCAGGGACGTCTCCAGTTAAGTAGGCCAATTTAGCCGATTCAATGAGGGGGAACTATTAATCAGAGAAGTAATAAAAAAAGTGAGCCAAACCACGGAGTATGCACTTACCGGTTTTCCGTGGCAGATTCCTCGAAAGTCGTCGTTATCCACGGACCAGAACATGATACCTCCGAGACCGTTATCTTTCACCCATTTCGACTAGAATTTCAATGATAATAATGCCATATTTTTAAGTACATAAATTTCAGAACTCACATCCCCATACAGTAAATAGCACATACGGCTCCCCATACAGTAAATAATGTTCCATTTAATATTTACTTTCTCCTGCTAAATCACATGTAGTAAATAATTTTTTGCCGAACTTTAGGTAAAAAAATAACATCGCCCACCGCCCGGATACAATTTCCTCCTACATCATTCCTTAAAATAAATAATGTTCATTTCTCCGCTCTCATAACTTGTTACGTACGTATTTATTTCAAGTTCGATGTTGCTACTCATGAAAATGTACCAATCCATTTTCATATTTACATTCTTCACGTTTCGCTTCCTTCCTGCCATCTGAAGTTGATCTTTGATCTTGCACAAGCAGTCAAAAATGAAAATGAATGAAAATGGCAATTTCATAACTGCAAGGAAAATGTACACAATTCAGCTGAATCGATTTATTCTCTCGAAAGTAAAGAAGAAGCGACGATATCCGGGACATTGTGGTTATATAACCGGTGCGCATAAGTATTATACGTCCAGGATCATTAGCAGAGGAGACGAGGCGTACCAACATCTATAAAGAACTGAAGTAAACTAAACTCAAAAATAATTGTCATCTGACATTAATGTTATTCGTAATGAAATTTCCTTTCTCCACATTACAGGCAGAACAGAATATTACAAAATCTACGGTATAAAATATGCAGCAGTTGTTACGATCCGTCTCAATCTGCCTCAGTTTTCTTGTAAATCCGTTCGGCTCAACCTGCCTTTTCCTCTGCTGCCTCGTCTCATAATACTTTAGCTGAACTAATCTAATGAAGGAAATAAATTTCTCTTCCTCCAAATTAAGTAAACGCTGCTCGTACGCATTCCACTTTCTCTGAGAAATAATCAGTAGAACCTTTAAGTATTATGTAGTTCATTTTGGAAGAGAGGAAGCAAGCACTTTTAGTCAGTACTGTGCTCATCATGCAGTGATTTCGTTGTTGTTGCCTGATCAAGAGGAAGTCCGGCTTTAATGATGTGCATTTAGCAGTGGTAGAAGGTGACAAGAAGAATTATTCTATGTCATCTTCTACCTACCAAAAAATGACAGGTTTCACGGATCAAGACATTACGAGATGGTTGGTGATGATGATCCACTTGTAGTGGTCAAGACGAAAATTGTTTTTTTTTCTGTGTGGTCTAAATCACGAGGACAATCATCATTAGCGGAATTGAAAGTGTGAAACCGTATATATTTCACCAGGTGTCCCCTCACCGCAAATAATTTAAATTGTCAATTGTTTTTTCATCGAGTGTAACTCTACGTGAAAAAAAAATTTAAGAAGTAAACTCACTTTAATAGCCATCATCCGAGTGTCACTGCAAGTTGACAATACCCAAAAATTATTTAAGCACTCACTGAAATTCGAAGTATATAAGCAACTTCTGCTTCACTACTTACTCATATCCGACCCATTGGTCATTCTTCACGGCGTGGGGTCCTTGCGTATCACTGTCAGCATTCTCCACTCGCCACTCCCCAGACTTGACTCCTTCACAAATCTGCAGAACGTCATAAAAAACTATTTTTTAATATGCAATAAAAATGTGTGATCTCTCTCTCTAAACGAAATTGCTAAACTTCTTCTTATGGCGTTCTTAAATATCTCATAAACACTGCCCGGACTTTGACCACGTAGTATTTTATCATATTAAAAAAAATACTTTTCTCCTCCTCCTGTCAATATTAACAAAGTTTCCAAACATGTCAAACACTTCCGATCATCACTCCTTCTCATCATCAATCATAATCTAGCACCTTTTCAACGCCACGTAACACACACAATGCACGATATTTACGACAAGCTCATCACACCTAATGAGTAAATCAACGCGGATACTTTTAACGTATCATCATCCCCTCTCCTCAGATCAGATATTGCCACGAACGGACAGTCACATTGTGTGTGATAAACTGCGAAAGAAATTGTTATTACGGTGATGATCGTGGCCATTCTTTTCTCCCAACAATGAAGAAACCTCATCTCAAGTTGGCTCAGTTTTGAACCTAATCTCATCTCGCCTCCAAACTCATCTTCACGATTCGAAAAAAATATGACTTCATTTCATTCTTTGTGGTGTCTGCTGGTGGTTAAATAATCAACATTCATCACTCCTCTCTGCTAACAATGGGGATTGAAGAGGAAAATTACACAAAGTATGTTGGACGGAAGCAAGGAGGGAATATAAGAATTGGCAAATAATATACAAATGTGAGTGAGATGCATCTCTCATTCTGGTTGATGGCCCATTAGAACAATGATCTATTAAGCTAATGCCCTTAACAAGTCTGAGCCATGATTTAGCGAAGGGTGCTGGTGTTGCAGTGCGGATCGGTTTTTATTATATTATTTATTTTGGCCGTGTTTTCTGCCGAGAGGAGGATGAATAAACGGCTTAATGAAGAAATACGCTTACGGCCGACCGAGTCGTGGTCATATTTCACTTTGACTTTCTTTATCCGATTTGCTCATTTGGCATATACCAAGACTTGGCATGAATAGGAGAGGAAAATAGGCGTGAACCGACGCATTCCTTGACGATATACGCATGAATGAATGTAAAATGCTTAAAACTCTCGAAAGATGAGGGGAATAAATGTAAATTGTATTTTATTTTCCCATCCTCCTTATTTTCTTTCGACTTGGGATTAGTTTATCTCACGTGAAAATATTATTTTACGTTTACCTCATAATACGCCAAGTAACCGGGTTCCTTGGTATATTTCCCTTTCGTTCCAGGACCCGAGGATGGAGCGTCGACATCGTAACTTTCCACGTTGAAAAGGTTGTACGACCTGCCATAAGTTGGAAGACCTACGACCAACTTGTCGGGGTCAGCACCTTCCTTCAAGTAGTGATTGATTGTATATTCCTGCACAAAATGGTTAGATTTTTGTGTAATCTATAACTTTTTTTAGACATGGGATGCATTGTTGAGGTCAACTTACAATATTTAGCTGTCCTTTCCAGTCATACTCTGAAATTCCATTCCGAGCCTTCAGTGGAGCGTGATGATTAGCATTTGGTTCGGTGGACGCGTGATAATCGTACCTAGCGTACCAAATTGTATGTCAAAGTGGAGATTAAAATTGTACTTCAAGCTGTATTGGTTACTTTTTAAACAAATAGCTAGCAAAATAAACTTGAGCCACTTACGTCAACAGGTTGAAGAAATCAATGTTTCTGTAATGACACAAGACTCAAATTAAGCTCATCGACCATAATAAATAAAATATCAATTTCATTCTCCCTGCTTGCCAATTTCAATCCCATCAAGGATTCATAATAGCTTTTAAAGCATTCTTTTGACGATATTTTAATACGTTTTTGTCCCACGCGGTGAACATGATGTCGCCCAACTTGCTCCCTGATTGAATTGAAGTTCATTGCTGACAATGGGCATTTACGATATGTGATACGTCCCACAAGAGTGAATGAAAGTGTGTTATGATTTGTGGTTTTAGTTTTATAGCTTCAGTTATGACTTTGAAGTATTGAAGAGAATTCGAGCCACAAACTCACTGAACAATGGACAAGATAACGAGAAAATGTAGCCCTGTTAATGATATCATCATCAAATAACCATCATAATAATAATTGTATCAAACTACTCTATTTCAAACGATTGCTTGCTGGGATAAAATTACGGTTGAAAATAGAAACTGAGTGACGACCAAGTGAGTGAGTGAGTCAATAATTTGAAACTATTGTCATTAACTACTTTGTTCATATCACAAATATGTCGGTTGAAGGCCTGATTATGTGATATTATTATCATGTGGATGCTGTATGTCAAACGTGCCTATTTTAATATAGCAATTAGGTATTAGTCTGCACTTAGAACGAGAGAAAACTTTACAACGACGAGCTAAGACAATAAAAAAATGAAATACTTTTCCTTTCTCCTTCCTCTCCTAGTTCGACTCTCACTTTCGTTCTTGTGAGTAATTTAGCAACAACAAAGTTGGCGATAAGTGTGCTAGACTAAGGCTAATTTGACCTTATTAAATTCTAACAAATCGCGCGATAACCAATATATAAAAGTTTCAAAGCCCTACTCATTCATGTCAAGCTGCATCAATAGGTATTACAAAATAAAATAATGAACAATGTTTTTGTCTACTGGGTTCCACCTCCTCCTCGCCTTAATAATTGTTCAGCTAATAAAGCAGCATCAGCTTAAAGTGTGCAGACAACAATATAATCTAGAAAAAATTCATTGGATCCTTCGGCTTATAAGGGCTTAAAAAATTATGAATTGTGCTTTTGTGATAATGATCTACTAGATTCGCAGAACATGATGATTTTTGCATGCGAATAAAAAAATTCGCAGTGTATGTCTGTCTTGCTTACGACGCTACTAATACATATTTTGCAATTTTTTTGACTTGCACGCAAACTCGATTCAAATATTGCATTTTCAAAAGTGTCACTGGACATGCAACATTTGATAATAAAATTAAATTCGTAAATTCAGTCAATGAGCATGCCAACACCATATTTTCTTTGTCACTAGTAATGAAAGTTATGATTTGAAACTCGATTCAAGAAGTTATGATGTGATGATATTTTCCGAGATAACATCTCTTTTCCGATCTCATCAAAATACATATTTCATTGCAACACAACAAGAAATATTACACGCCAATTCTTCTTAGACTTGTCCTCCCATTCCTCCTTTGTTATTCATCAAGATATACTTTTAGGCTTATCATCAAGCCAAACAATTAAGCTGGGGGACATGAATGAACTATAGATAGTTCAAAGCTTGTGCTGAGTCGCATTAAAATTTGTAGTGGAATCAATATCATATAGCCACTGAACAATCCTCTACTATGAATGATAATCGATAATCGTGCGTAAATGAGTGGTGAGGTGAATGTTATTAAAAAAGAACTGATTTCTAAGGGCGTTTAAAGCAGCACAGTGTACACGACTAATACTTGTGATTGTAATCTCAATTGTGGGAAAAAAAGTGTGGCTTGTGTGTTGTAATTCTCCTGTCAACTCTGTTCATATTGTTGAGACAAACTGCATGCTGCTGCTATTTTCTTTGTGTCTTTAACATAACATAATTTTTGTATACTACAATGGTAAAATATTTAAGTGTAACTAGATCACTGCAATTATTATGTTATTGCTCTTCCCAACTTGTCGAGATAACTGAAGGTAAAATTCATCGTGTGGGTGGGTAGATCATGATTAATAATTCTGCAGCAAAACTAATATGTAGAAAAATTGTGTACCCAAATATATCAAAATAAGTCGAGTATCAAATCTCGTCACATCAGCGCTGTCATAATAATAATAATAATGACAACTTTATTTATGTAACGCATCCTTAAAAAATGACGATGCCTACGGACTGCACGACTAGAAAATATTATCATTATTCGCGTCTCAGTTATTTTTTCCAGTTAAATAATAAATATGCAATTCATGCCTCGTGCATGCATGCGATATCGTCCGAAATATTGCGTCACAAACGTGTGAAGAAGCATAAATACATATAATTCTACTCGACCAAAAAAATTGAGACGGTAAAACATTTTCATTTCGTCTCAATCAAAAAATAGAGGACACCACACCCAGCGAAAAATGCAACGCAAAATGCAACCAACATTACTTATCATCATGATTCGGCACAAGACGAAAGTCGAGAAGGATGAGATGAGACAGCAGCTAATTTAATTAATTTGAAATCAATTTGCAACACATTGTTGTCCTATTACCTATCAATTTTCAAGCGAATTTACTCTACAGCCTGTTTCCCAATCTGCAAATGAGAATCGCCAAGCCTACTATTTGCATAATATAAATTACGTACATAGGTATTTCTATCTCTATTCTGTATTTATTACGCAAACAGTATGAAACCCATTCTGTCGTCAATTTGATGGTTTGTCACGTACTAAAGTGTTTAAAAAAGGACCCTCCAATAATTTTCGTGATAAGTCCACGAGTCAGTTAAATATTTAAATTTAGCAATACAACAATTTAACAACGTAAACAATGTCCCCCACCACAACCATACTCGATTACGTTATGTGTCAATTTTTCTAAAGAGTGTTAATTAATCCCTTCTTGTTTTAATTTTTGGAGACAGAGGGGAAAATCAAATATTGAAATTAAACTCGTAATTGATTCTTGACTTGTGTCCTTTGTCTCAAAATATAAATGAGAAGCTATTGTTTATCCGAGGATATAGCTTTTGCTACCATTGTTAATTTACATATGTAAATATGTACGTACTTGTTGATTGTAGGGATGTCGAAACCCTTCTGAATCCACTCGATACCGGCTGGAACTGCAACGGTGAGAAGTAATCGAGCCCGTCCAGTAGATTTGCTCTCTTCTTCAAAAGCTTCTCGAAGTTCCTGAAGAAACATTAAGGACGAAAAACATTGAGATTTTTAAAGTAATTAATGTCAAATCAAGGATGAAATTACTTTAACATTTTTACGGCAAGATCAGTAACGAAAATTACTTAAATTACTACTTTACCTATAAAAAACTGCGCCACTTAAAAGTATGTAATTACTTTAGTTTACAAAAAATTGTCCATACCGACATAATCTTAAGTACATTATGTAATGTACTTAATACGATACATAGTACTTACATACATACCACCCACCCACCCCTGTGTATAAGCCATGCTGTGTTCTATCTATTAAGGCATAATCTCAAATTGCCTAGAATTGGCTAAAAACGTGATTCATTATTCATTTTCTTAGAAGGGCACAACAACAAGGGGTAAGTATCACGTAATGATTTAAGTTCTAGTCAGAAATTAAAAAGGGTAGAGAGTGAAACAGAGATTAAAACAATTTTCCCAGATGTAGGGAAACGGGGTCAAGGATATTACAATTTAATAATACTGCTTAAAGCTCACACTAATGATAATCCATTCTCAGCATGCATTTTGCTACGGCATTGTTTTGCTTTATTCTATAATTTTCCTTCCATACTACGCATAAATAATTTAATGCGATACTGTGCATGTGAGATTTGACCAGGTTTTAACTCTTTGTAAAATGGACAGTGCTCAAAATGGTAAATAGATTAAGTACCTTAATGAATTGGGCGTAATTCTTTTTATCCTCGGGAACTCCGCCTTCTCTGGATGCCGGGTATTCTGTATCAAATAATGGAAATTTATATTAATTAAAACTGATTTCATCCTTTATCTCCCGTCATCCTTACCCCAATCCAAGTCCAATCCGTCGAACTGGTACTGCCTTAAAAATCTGACGGCATGTTTAATAAAATTCTTGCGACTTTCAGTGTCAGCCACCAAGTTTGAGAAGCGACGGGAGCCCTCATTCCTTAACGAGATTCGTAAATAATATTATTATGACGCAACAAGAGTGAAAGTAAAGTAATTAAGGAATAATTAATAATTTTAATTTTACCATCCTCCGATAGCAATCATGGTTTTGAGCGCTTTGTTGTAGGTCTTCAATCCATTGAACTTTGTGTACCCACCTGAGAGAGAAATATGATGGGATTCGTTGTAAAAAGCAGTTTTTAGCAAAATCTTATGCTTCTAAATATAATTTAATAAATTATGTATGCACCTTTGTCAATGTCCTGATACTTGTCAAACGGTTTAATTCCAGAATCTGAGGTGAGTCCTCCAAAAGCGTAGACCAAATGGGTGCAGAGATACGGGTTGATGTTGTCCGGTAGGAATTTTGCTGGTCCTTGTCGATACGCTGACCAATTCGTATAGTAGCAAACTACACGCCTTTCACCCTTAGAACTACTACTTTTAGAATTAGAGGCTCCCGAGACTGGAGAAAGCATTGACATTGAACACAAGACTAGGCACAAACTTGCTGCTATTTTGCTTAGAAAGAGAGATTTTCTATCTCCGGATCGGAGTGGACGGTGGGAGGAGGAGGATTGCATTTTTACGGGATGAGAATCAAATTCGTTGCTTGAAGAGTCATTCTTTAATCTCGATTGTGGGGATGAGGATGATGGGTCATCGGTTAGTTTGGAGGATAGCCCGTCCATCTTATGGATCGGGGATTCCAGCATCCGCTGTAATTACAAGATGGAAATGAGGCATTAAATAAAAATTTGATCGGTACAGTGATAAATTTCAACATTATGCGAGAAATATTATGACATTTTCTGTTATCAGTTGTGTGCAGCCAGGAAATGTGCATTTAGCAAGATTTTGAGGTGGATAAATTTTATGGCCTTCTTCCTTGTGTTTTATGTAGATAATTCGCCATTTTATAAAAATAGTTTTGAAACTTTAGCAAATTAATTGTTAAGCAAGGCATGCGTAAACAAATTAAATTAGAAGTCAATAGTGAAAATATTTGTCTTGGTAGAATGCCATTTTGTAAAATACATTTAGAGCAGTATTGGATTTTTAATATATATTTCATCCTCATTGTTGTTCATGTACGTATTGGTAGTAAGTTAATTGACAAATTTTGAACTTTTAAATTATTTATAGTTTTTCATAATCTCTTCATGTCCAACTTATCGGCTCTCTCCTCAGTCGGAGAAGACCATTCAGTGCTGTACAGTTTTCCTAGTTGAGCCAACAGATCAATAAGATAATAAATAAGATGATAAATAATTGCATACACAGCATTTAATCACATTCTCATCGGATTAAATTAGACTCGGTTTCAATTTCTATTTGTAATCATGATGCTAATAACTAAATTAAAACGCAAACAAGAACGGACAAGAAGTAAAGCGAATCGCTTTCTTATCAATCAAAATAAATTTGCATGAAAATCATTAAAGACGCAGCTAATCTAAATGCAATGCATTTATTCTCTGATCATCGAAATCAATCCAATTTACTTCGCAGATGAGTGAGCCAAAACGGCAGATGAAAAAAAATAAATGAAAAAATGACACGGGGACAAAAATGAGGCGTCTTTTCACCGTCTGAAGTCAAGCACATTCGCTCTCACCCCATTTTACACTTTCAATTTTATTCCTATGTAGAAATCAATTTGATTCCTAATACGGTCGAAATTTCAGAAATACCGACGCAATGAAATAAATGTCCACCATTCGAAATGCATCTTATTGACATGTTAGTTAAACCCTGACTTCAAAACTTGACATGCCCTCTCCTCTCATTTTGTAAAATTTTAGGTTATTCAATCATTCAATTGCTCAACTTTTTTCATTTCATTTTTTGATTATTTATTATTCATTATTAATAGTTTTGTGTAACGCCTCGCAGTGTGTTGCTTGCAAATTAGGCAACAAATGTCTAACCCTGGCGGACTTTTATTTTGAACTGTCGTAATTGGTAAACCTTTTCATTTCAAATTTTTTTAATGACTACACACTTTATTTCTATATGTTCGCATTTAATTTGAAATCAGAGCTAGAAGAATAATAAATGACAGCAAGTATTATAATGGGACTAATTGGGTGATGTTATGATAGGCATGCACAGGTCGCATCCAATCCGCCTCTGATTTCATATTCAATATCATGATCATCAGTTAAATAGTCAGATGCATTTCTTCATGCCCTTAAGCCGTCAATACGACGAGTTATTATATAATCGTTGGCTCGTGACGGTTTAGATGTGTATACACCCAAAAAGTGACGAAATATTGTGATGTGTGTCTGTCAAGAGGAGACGTGTGTAATGAATTGACTGATTTTTTTATTACGAGTTTGATTGACAAAAGGAATGCGGCTGGACTACAAATTTCTACACGACTCTGGAGCTATTTTGTTCTTCAATTACTTTCATGTGCAGTCAATCATCATTGCAATTCTAATTTCGTGCAAGTGGAGCTGATCGCAGAAAGTTCGTGGTTCAAGTGTCCTTGGCAGTACGGATTGATGTTAAACATAATAAATACAATTTAATTTATGTACTTAACGACATTTTAGTGCGGATATTTTTACTAATATTTGCACTTTAAGTAATTCACTTTAAAGCAAAAAATGTAGATTTGCATATGAAATTTGTTCAAATTGGTGTTTCTTTATAATGGTGGTAAAGGAAGATCATAAGTCCGTGACATTGAACCAGACACAGATTTGTTTGCTTGTACATAATTTTTCCTGTTATAAAATCAATTGATGAATCGTGAACGTGAAGAAGATGATCCACCAACGTCCACGTCCACGCAGTTATATAAATTATTTTGCTAAATATTGGTTGCAAGAAGGATATTTTATCAGCACACGTGTATCCGTGTACCTATTTGTGTAAGTAATTCCTTGTTGTTGTTCTTCTTTATTTGTTGAATCAAGTAACAATTTAATTTTGCATGAGACGATTTTCGTTCAAGTATGCCTACTTATTATGGGTAAGGTTAAATTGTATAAGCATCTTGAATTAGGCGTATTCCAAAACATTCCTTTAATGACTCTAAATCGATGTTTTGATTTTTATCTTAGTTAATTATGTATGTAAATTCAGAAGAAGATTCACTACATCCCAATTTAACCTACACCATCTAACATTACGTATGTAACTCCTTAACAAATGGTCAACTTGATGTTTTTTGCTGATTTTTGTAAAATATAATTTCTGTCCAATATATTTGTGCCATTTTAAACTTTATGCAGGAAATCCATTACATTTCCTTCATAAAAAATTCACTTAATCCCCACGCCACGCCCCAATCATTTACATATTTCCATAAACTCCAATCTCAACTGACTTTCAGACAAATAATTTATCCGTACCGCATAACAAGAAAATCAAAACATTGTTGGGAAATAAATGTTTGAAAATTCCATTAGACAATATGTACAAACATATCATTGCGTGCGTGTGTGTTGAGTGGAATATAAATTTGCGCTTTAAATAATAAGACATACCTACGTACGACGTAATTAAGCCACCATCAAGCCAAACCAATATTGAAGACAATATAAATTACCATATCATGCCAGAACACAGTCAACAGTAGTAATTTCCCAATGACATTATGCAATGTTGAAATACCGGTAGTGTGTATAGAGTAAGTGCTACGTGGTGGTAGCAGTCACCACCAATTTGTGCCTATTATTATTATTTATTAGCATTTACGATTCATTCACTTTCTTGACCACCAGACAGGCACAGACCACTTGAAACTATTACGATCAAATTCATTCAATTTTTATTTGCCAACAAATCCATCTCAATTTTTCATGACCATAATCTAATTCATCAATTACGAGATTTGAGCAAAAACTTAAAAGCAATTTTGACAAATGTGCATTTATTTATTAGGTTTTGTCTACCCTAACAAAACAACAATAAAATAGATTATATAAATTACTACTACTACTACTGATCACTTACTGCAAATTAGTGCCGTTTTCATTTCTGTCACTATTTCTGAGAAACTGCAGTATGAATTTCGACACTTTATCATAATAACCAATAACATGTTATGCGGATGATAAATCAAACGTATGAAAGTAATTAATATTCATATGTTCTTTTTGTTATCCATTACAGTTTGTCTTATCCGACGAGAGTAACAACACAGGTGACTTGAGATGTCAAAAAGTGTGTAGTTATCAAGTACCGACGAGATTAGGTAATGACTAATAACGACGACAAAGGAAAAGTCTGCATAATGATTAGTATTCCCTGTATGAACGACATTTAATAATTTATTATAATTTCTACACGGTTTAAGCAAGATACCAATGAAATGGTAAATAATGACATAAAATCGTTCCTCCTGATGTTCCTTGGCTAGCACCTCATCTCAGAGGCAAAAAGGTTCTCATTGTTACTTTATCGCCGTAAACAAGGGTGCATCATGAGATAATAAGTACCTCTCGGTGCCCCTGCACCACAAGCTTACAGACAATTTATTATCATACGGCCTGGCATGCGGTAATGAAATGGTGTAATATTAATTTAATTTGTCCCATTTAATAATGTTTCCTAATATAATGTTAAATGAGACTTGAGTAATTATATAATTCTTCTTCCGTTACTTGCATAAAACGCTATTTAATTTAAACAGTGTGAATATTCGATTTTGTTTTGTGAGAAATAAAAATTCTGTTGAGATTCAGGATAAGTTTTGATATATTTCTTGCGGAAGTTGGTGTAATGAGGAGGAAACTTTTAAACTAAATATTTATGTAGCTATGATGCAAAACTAATAAGTTTTGTTGGTGCAGGACGCCAACAATTTTTTTAAATTGTTACAATTAAAAGTATATAAATTTACAGATTTTCTTATTTCGACTAGCAAAATAAAAATTTGTGATTTGAATTCACAAGTTATTCACGCACATTGCTTACAAAATAAAATCTCACTTTTCCATTTCACACACGTGCAAAGAATGGAACTCGAGTCCTTTTAAAACACTCCAGGCTACAGACAAATAATAATAACGAAATGAAATGCAAACCTGTATTTGTGCAGTCAGTTCAGTCAGTCATTTCATCCCTGCGGTGGAAATGTGTTAGTGGTGTTATAGGATTGTATATGTAGCTTCAAGCGTTTAGTAAATACTAATAACGGGCTAAAATGTTATGTCATTGTCACGTTTTGTCGTCTAGAAAAGCATAATACGGTCATAATAATAACATTTACCACACATTTCAGGAGTACTTTGAAAATATGGACTTCTCCTGGGACAGGAAACGTCTCAGTTTTTTGTATATGAAAAACAATCATAATTTGAGTATGGATACGCTGATTACTTACTTATTCGCTTCAAAATCTTACTGTAACAAAATATAATATAATACGACTTGGAGACTGTCATTAAGTAAATAGTCGAGGTGGTGGCAGGTACTAGTCACAAATGTCAGATTGTGTTTCAATTTAAATTACGAGACATTTTATTATCACATGAATTAAGGTGATCTTGTAATCCGTAGAGTGCTTACAGAGAACAAGGGCAAAGAATGTTTCGAAATTGCTGTAATTTTAATACTTGAATATTTTGTTGCAGGATAATGTACACAATTAGATACATGACTTGTTGAAAACGTACATTTACAAAAATAGTCCTGACGTTTCAATGATCAAGGGCAACATTCCCAGTAAGCGTTTCACCTTGGATCTCATCATTACTGT